GGACACCTATAGAACTCAAGTTGCAGTTTGCTTGCACACGAGCGCTAAATCAAGTATAGCACGGCCACTTACAAGTAGAACTGCTTGAGCGGGCACCTTCTCCAAACTTTTTGAATAGCAACATGCTGAGAGCTCACTATTTTTTGCCTTCATTCATAGAATTGCCTAAAGCACCTGTAAAGCTGAAAGCAGTGGACCTCTCAGCACTTTGGGCTCGTGGAAGCACAAAATGCTGAGAGGCCCCTTGTTTTCACTGAGAGGCTCCTAAACAATCTAAGTCTCCATCTGAAAGCTGACACAAGGGACCTCTCAGGAAGCACAAAATGCTGAGGTCGCTTGTCTTATGCATGTGGAAAGCTGAAAACAAGGGAGCTTCCCTAAAGCAGAAAGTGCTATAGTGTCCCGTAAAAAAAAAAAAAAAACCTAATATTTTATGCCTTTTGGTACGCAGTCCTTCAATACTTGTAGACAGTGTTTTTTATTTTTCCTGTTTTTTCCTTCTTGGAGTTTTCGGGTTTCCATGAGCCTCAGGAGAAGAAAGGAACGAAGCCGGTCACGCTCAGAATCCCGCAAGAGGGATAGGCCTGGCTTCACGCTTTTGTTGTAAATTCTGTCCGTTTTGAGTTAGGGGGCAAACAGAGCAGTCACTGGCAATACTGTTGTTTGATTGGTTTTCTTCCGCTGGTTCGGTGACGGACATGGGAGGGGGCCATGCTGTTTCGGGAAACATTCGTGTTTTTGCACGTTGTTCATGCAAAGACGGGGAATCTAATTGTGGCACAACGAGCAAAGGTCAACAGGGCGTTGCATCCACTGGTTGCCTCGGCACATGAAGTGGGCCTCACATCCAGGTTCGCCACTGCTTTTTGTTGATTAAAATCCAGCTGCGTTGTGTGTCCTCGAGCTCGAACAGTGAGAGCAACTCTACCCGTACGGTATAATGCTGACGTGTTTTGTTGCACCGGAAGCTCCTTCTCAGAATCCCTTGCATCACCCGGACGCATTTGGACCCCACAACATCCCGCCCTAACCTTCAAAAAACGCTGTAGAAGCCGCCGAAATCGCCCCCTACAGTCGCCAGAGCCCTGTCCCCAGCATTCCTGCATCACCAGCATCCGGGCAGCATCCCTTGCATCCCTTACATCCCTGGCATCGCGCCGACTCTCAAAGAACGGCCCCCGTTTCGGCGGCGGGCGGCGGGCGGATTTGCGATCAAGTGAGCGGGGTTTCTGCGAAAGCGGGGCCGGCTCCACTATGTGGAACACATTGCAAATACCGTGTTTGTTTTGGTCATTTTTCCCGGGTTTCTGTGGGGCTGGGAGGCGATGCCGGGGATGCAGTCTTCGTCTGATTGGCTTTGGGTGTGCGCCGCACGCAGGCATGCACGCGTGTACGCACGCACGCACGCGTGCGCAAACACGCAAGCACGCGTGCGCACGCGCGCACCAACGCTAGGGTGGGGAGGGGTTGGTGGGAGGGGAGGGTGGGCTGGCGGTGAGGCGTGGAGGGTGGGTGGGGTGGGGGGCGGTTGGGTGAGCAACCATGTTTTTCACACGCGATGGTGCAGGATTTTGCCCACCCACAGAACATCATTGCGACACTCAACAAATTGCTTTGCACTTTGCCCTGAGGTTTTGTTCATATTGTTTTTTCAACAAACAACAAGCTAGCTTTCTGCCAAAAATATAATGCTTAGTTTGCCTAGACTGTTCTTCCGGTTTGGTTTTAAGGTCCAAACAGGATTGGTGAATACTATGTCACATCTGACATATTATGCAAGTGTAGATCGCCATATTGTTGTATCTCAGTGGCTCCTGCGGCACAGGGATAGCGGGGCCCCATTTCTTGCTGTGGGCCAAGCCCCTTCAAAGTGACAGAACCAAGACTTCACAGAAGGGTTATGTTGCGCAACCTGTCAAAAGGAGACGTGTAAAAAAACGACTACCCTACAAAGGTGGGTTTTGTGTTGGTGTGTCCTGTTCATGACGGACAACATGGGTTCTCTAATGTAGGCGCTTTCACAAAGGACTCATCCAACACACACATGTGCAACGTCCAAAACCTCCGTCTACATGTTTATCAGGGACTATGTCATATCGACCCGTGGCGTAAGCAAAACCTGCACGGGCGTAAGGCGGCGTAAGCAACTGTCGAAAAAACATGTCGCGCAAGCATTCCGCGTAAGCTATTGTTCAGTCAGGTTGCTTGGAATATCCTATGTGTTTCTTCAGTCATGTTGTTTGTCATATCCATGTGTTTCTCATTAGTCATGTACTTGTTATATTTACCCATTGGGCCTGGGAAAGCAATATTGTCCTTTGCTACTACACAAGGCAAAACTAGGGAATGTTTGGGCGCTTTCCGCGTAAGGCTTGCGTAAGCTTCGCGTAAGCCCACGCGTAAGCCCCAGCTGCGTTTCTGAGTAGTAGCCTTGCCGGCTTTGCAAAGCCCTTCCTAGACCTGCCATTGTCCAGCTCTGCCGCACGGCGCTGCCTTGCTCCACAAGGCAGCGCCATCGCGAGAAAGCAGGACCCCGCCAAACGAGAAGGATACGTGCAATTGGAGACGACGCTTCTACGATAAGCTCCGCTCTTGGGAGCTGGAAGGGCCCAAAGCCGGAGACGACAATGCGTTGACTCGCAAGTTCGCTGCAATGAAGCTGTTCTTCCTCCTCTTCATCTTCCTCCACGGCTCGTCATCTGCGTGAAAGGACAAAGTGCTCGCGTAAGCCGCTTGCACGGAATTGCATCCGGTCTCTCTGGCGTAAGGGCTGCATAAGGCCTACTTGAAGCCCATGTGCCGCGTAAGCGAAAGCACGGTGCGCGTAAGGCTGCGTAAGGAAGCGGCGTAAGGAGAGGGATGCGACATAGGGAATCACGACACGTTTTGGACATGGCTCAAATGGGTATATTGGTCCCCCAGTTTTTTCCCGGAAGTGAGGCCACCCTGTTAATCGTGGGGCGTCCCCCTAAACGATATAGAATGAATGGGTTTATGTTCAAATGGGAGTTGATCAAATTCCCTTCAGCCTCAAAATGGCCATGGGTAACTTGTCCCATGTGGTGAAAGTGAAACCTTCGGGTGGTTTCCCCAAATGGGCACCTCATGTATATCGGAGCTTTTGATCAACCCCCAAATCTACTTGCTGGTGCTCAGTAGGGGATGTTATTTCAAGGAAGCCACTCAAGGAATGCCATTTCAAGGAAACCCTCAGCAGGAAAGCATCAATAATAGCAATAGCGGTTTGGTAGGGAATGTGGGAATGAACCCAGGCTTTGGTCCCCTCAAAGGCAACCACAGGGGATGGTAGGGTTCAAATCTACTTGCTGGTGCGTAAGGAATGTTGAGCAGCCACAAATCATGGTTTATCAGGGTCATTCCATCATTCCCTGCATCTCTCGCACCATGCAGGGCATCGCCTTCCTATGGCCGATGAGCTTCGCGTTGGCGTCTCCCGCGCGTGGGTCATGCGCGGAGGTGAGGCCGACTTGCCCAGCGGATATGTTGTGTTTTCACCTTGTTACAATGTGTTTGCGTGTTTTTTTGAGTTGTTTGAACATAGGAGAACCCAACATGAGTGGTGGGTTTGCTTCGACAAAGCTACCCCCATCACAAAGGGGTTCCTTGAAGAATGAATCGCACACACACATTCGAATGTGGATTTGATAGGTATCACGAGTGTTTTGGACCCCGCCACCATTTGCGAATCACAATTTGGAAGACTATCCTAGTGGTGGTTCATGAAATGTTTTCATCATCCACTGTGGGTTGGCGACAAGTAAGTGCAAATAGTATACATGAATACACAGTATGAGGCATGCACTTGCAAGTATGTGCATGCAATTGTCCACCTACGACACAGAAACACAACCCTCACGGGTAAATCAACAAGAATCAGAGCCCCCCCTGAACTCACATCAGCAAGCCGACTGGCTGAATGCATCTGAAGAGAATATATCGAATGGAATGCGCCGATGTGAGAAGACGAAAAGTCTTTTTCCAAGGGGGGCGTTCTCGGGTGGGGGCTGAGGGTGGGTGGGTGTCGCTAGGCCTATGGCCTGGTATGAAAAGCCTGGTACAAGCCAAGGACAAGTGTCTTATTCACTCACCTAGGTCCATGAGGATGGCATCACTCACTCTCACACCGTCGTTTGGCAACTGTAGAGATCCGGGCGCAACTTCTTGGTGAATGTGTTGGGTTGGGCTTGGTTGTTGTGGTTGCCGTTGTTTTGCTGATTTGTTTGCTTGCTAGAATTTGTTTTGTTGTTTGTGTGTTGGTTGGTTGGTTTTGTTTTTTTGTTGGTTGGTTGGCTTTGGTTGTTTGTTCGGTTGGCTTTTGTTAGGTTTGGTTTGGGTTGGCTTGGTTGGTTTGTTTTTTGGTTCAGGACCATTCCACTTGTAAATAATAGGCAGATCCACTCAGGAAGTGAGGGATAGACAAACCCCACCTGGGTTGATCCCAGTATTCATAGGCCCTCGTCCATGCGAAACTGGTGCAAGCTTCAAGCCGTGCCAATCGTTTTCACAGGATACACCGGCACATGTGTCTTCAGTGCGTGTTTTTAGGGTACCCTAAAGATAAAGGGAAAGGGAAGAACACATATATGTGCCTATTGTCTTCCCATATGAGTGTTCCCTTTTTTTCTTGGTTCAAATGGAACACTAACGGAACAACATATAATATATGCGCCTCCTATCCTCGACACATGGGAGCGCTGGCCATTCTCTCCGGCCGCTGCTGCTTCAGCAATGGGAAAGCGCACATGCGCGCCTTGGGGTTTCTTCCACTGTTTTTGGGGCAGGCTGGACTATGTAGAAAGTGGCTCTTCAAGCGTGTTTCAGCGAATACGCTGACAAGCAAGGACAAGCAAAGACAAAGCATCATGGGCGATGAGCTTAATTTACATTGGTTTGGCTCAAAATTAAACAACAGGGGTTACACAGGTTTTGGTCCATGTTTCCACTTACCAGGGCAACCCATTTTAGTACCGGTTGTTTGAGCCACAGCCACATCAGCCCATTTCAAGCCACTCGACTCGGCGTGAGTCTGTTTACCCAAGCGATGGCGGAAGCTCCTGCCAGAGCCTTGAGTGAGCGCGAGAGATGAGATGCGGTCAGTGTTTGGTTGCTACAGGGGGTTGTGTCAAAATTGAGAGGCCCCCAAAATCCCGGCTTTTCTTTTTGGCATCGCCTTAAGCACACCTTAAACAGGCTCCCCTGACGACCCAAATGGGTACTGACGACCCAGGTACTTTGGTTTTTTAGTCGGTTGTGTCTGGGTGTCTTTGAAAGAGCAACCGAAGGAATACCAACCGGAGACAGACCCAAATGACACTGTCGGGATTACTCAGTCCAAAAGGAAGCTACAAGACTGATGTGTTTCAATTGTCCCCGATTTACCAACTCTTCCCGGCTTTTTGAGTGGTTTTTTAGAGGGAAATGGAAAGGAGAGGAGTCGCAAATGTTGTCGGACATGAGCACCTATCGACTGATTCACCTAGAGCTCACCTAGATTGAGTTGGGTCGACATTCAGGACCCCAAGCTTTGTTACAACCCAGAGATCCATACAAGTTTTGTAAAGTTTTAAATCACGGGGCAAGTGACGTGGCCCATGGCATTTGGCTGCTTCTTTTATTTAGTTTTGCAGAGGTGACCCGTATTGCGGTCACCTGTATAAAAAAGGTAACCCACGTCCAAAGCCGTGAAGAGAAGAAAGGTCCAGGATCCACTGGTCCTGCCCTGTTCCCTTCCAGCTGCCGAGATGCCGTTTCTTCCCTGTTTCGAGTTGAGAAGTTTGAAAATGCCCGTTTCCTTCCGAAGCTGACAAGAGCTTTCCATGAACTGCCAGGCACTTCGCCGAAGTCCAGCTTGTTTTTTGAGCTACTCCTAGTGTCAATTCTCAGCAATTTCATGTTCCCAGATGCCAGCTGATGGCTTTCTTTGTGCTGCATTCAGAAGATTGGGAGTAGCAAGATATGCCGTACGTTTCAAAGTTGTTTGGCGAGATCTTGAGGCGAACGCATCCCGTGAAGCTCTTTCATTGAGGACTTCATATGGTTCTTCTTTTCTTCGCGTATCGGAATCGACTTCGTGCCTGATATGTTGAAGTTTTTTTTTTTGGTTTATTGCGGGCTCGAACATGTTATTCTCTTTTGGTCCAGACCTGTTCGGCTACCCGGCTACCCCAGTTGGTTCACCCGGCACCAACGCTTGCTTTGGGATCAGCACGCTGCCGCGATCTGAGGTGCTGGACTCGACTGCCAAGGCGCTCGGAGGTTGCGACAGGTCGAACGACCACGGAGTCCCAAACCAACTGGCACGGATACAGGGGGAACCAGGGATACGGGAGGATTCCCCCTAAATGCAACTAAGTTTGATTTGGGAAATGGCGCCAAGGAATCCCCCCATATCCCCGGTCCCTCCGTATCCCCGCTTGTTCGTTTGTCCAACATATTGAGGTGGACCCCATTTTGTTTGAGGTAGAAAAACAACAAGGGGGCAGAGTCGTTTCGTGTGTTACGCCCAAAGCCTGGTTTCTGCGGACAATCAGTTTCCCTTTGCAACTGCTAATTACCTTGCATCCACAAACAAGGAGCAATCTGACTGGGGGCCTGGCAAAACAGGCTTCCGCTAAGTGAGACCCTTTCGGGGTTTCCATGTTGGTGGACGGAGGGTCTTCACTGTTGGGTACCTCAGTTGGGAGGGTCCCTTGCGCTGGATGAGATCACGGAATCGGATGGCGCAGCACGCACAGTTCCAGAGTCCCGAAACGGGAAGCACAATTGGAGCACCAACATGTGTGCTGCTGGTGGGAACAATTGGTCGTTGACTAACCAGAGTCTTAGACTGAATGTGTTTCTCGTCGTTTTTTGAGTTGCCTTTTCTTGCTTTTTGGTTTGAAAAGATCGTATTTTGCCTTACCAGCATCAAAGAGGTGTCTCGTTTCGCCGGTGTCCACGAGCGAGCAGTTTCGAGCGACTCAGGCGGCGGCGCCTGCGCCCCCGCTGCCACCTGACCCCGTGCCCGGGGTGCCCCTGGCGCCGCCGCTCGGGGCGCCGGCGCCGCCGCTCGGGGCGCCGGCGCCGCCCCCGGCGCCCACCATAGCTGGGGTCCCGGCGCCACAGGCGGACCCCAACCACATCGATCCCGCCTGGGAGGCAAGGACCGAAGGGCCGAACTATGTGCGAGGTTGGGTTGGAAGGTTGCGTAGGGAACTTGGGGTATTTGATTTGTGGTTACGACATCAGGTTCTGGTATGGCGTTGCGTTTTTTTTGTTTCCCCCTTCTTTATTTTCCCGGTGTGCTTGGTTTGTGCTTTAGCTCAGTCGCATGGCATGGCGCCGTCAGCCGAGTCAGCCACCTTAACTTGGCGCGGCTTTCCGAAAGGATTTGATATGATTTGATTAGGTGGGTATGGGTCAAAATTATACCAGGGGACCGCAGATTTTAGTCCATGTGTCCATTTAGCACATTTTTGTTGACCCACAGCCATTTGATATGATTTGATCATGCAGTGGTTTCCCAACTTGGTCGCTGGGCAGGGGCGACGCTGTAAGGCTCGCTTTTGAGTTTGGCGAGTGACCCATAGAGAGCGAACTCCCCTGCCCGCTGAGAAAATGGAAAGTGTGACTGGGGATATCGCTGTGGTTGTCAAAACCAATACCCTTTTGGTTGGTAGGTGAATTGACCACCCATTTTAGGCTTCCTATTTTAGTGGTTGGATGTTCACTGGGGGTACGATTTGGATTTTGACCCATGGCCATAAAATTGTTTCCCTGCAGCAACAGAACCTTCCAAGGCCTCCAACCACTTGCGCCTCAGTTGTCCAAAGCGAATCGAACTGTTAGCCTTTGGCGTTCCCTTTTTCGGCCTTGGGTCAGGGACCCAAAAGTTTTTTTTTCCCCCAGGTCCTTGCAGTTGAATGGGGGGATGCCAAACTGAACTACAGGGACGAAAATGTGTGGTTTGGTTCCCCACTGGTCAACCACTCAATTTGTGTTAGTTTGCTACGTTGGGATGTTTGGTTGGTTCCGTAGTCAGCCCAAAAAAACAATTTCCGTTTTCGGCACAAATGGTTCTCAAAACCCTTAGAAGGTTTCTTTACTTTTTCCTGCGGGTTAATTGTTCGATTCCCCGCTATTGGTCAACCCCAACTCGATATACCTGGTTGGGCTGCTATTCTGGTCTCCAAAACTTTGGTTTTAGGGTAGATTCAATATGGACCAGAGTCAGACAAAACCAACATATATATTTTTGAAAGGGGCTATTTCTTGTTGTGAAACCACAGGTGAAACCACACTTGAGTGTTCCCCGTTGCGACAAACTCAAAGGGCCAAGTATTGGTCAACCAAATGGGTGTGGCTCAAAATGAAAGAGCTAGGGTTACGCAGGTTTTAGTCTTTGGTTCCATTTGCCAGGGTGCCATTTTGGTACCACTTTTTTGAGCCACAGCCAAATCGACCCTTTTCGCCCGATTTCGGAGGTGCCCACTTCCGACGAGACGGCCTTGCCGCGGGAGGATGACGGGGAGAGCTGGCTGGAGCTCCTGCGAGACGGTGCCTGGGCTTGGTCGCTTTCGCGTTTGTTTGTTTCTTTGTGTGTTTGTTTGTTTTTTTGTTTGTTTGTTTGTTTGTTTCTTTGTTTGTTTGTTTGTTTGCTTTTTGTTTGATTGTTTGTTTTTGTTTGTTTGTGTGTGTGTGCGTGTGTGTGTTTGTGTGTGTCTGTGTGTGTGTGTGTGTCTGCATGTGTGTGTGTGTTTGCATGCGTGTGTGTCTGTGCGTGTGTGTCTGTGCGTGTTTGTCTGTGCGTGTGTGTCTGTGTGTGTGTGTCTTTGTGTGTGTGTGTGTGTGTTTGTGTGTGTGTGTCTGTGTGTCTGTGCGTGTGTGTCTGTGTGTGTGTGTGTGTCTGTGTGTGTGTGTGTCTGTGTGTGTGTCTGTGTGTGTTTGTGTGTGTGTGTGTGTCTGTGTGTGTGTGTGTGTCTGTGTGTGTGTGTGTCTGTGTGTCTGTGTGTGTGCGTGTCTGTGTGTGTGGGTGTGTGTGGGTGTGGGTGTGGGTGTGGGTGTGTTTGTGTGTGGGTGTGTGTGTGTGTGTTGGGTGTGTGTGTGTGTGTGTGTGGGTGTGTGTGTGTGTGTGGGCGTGTGTGTGTGTGTGGGCGTGTGTGTGTGTAGGCATGTGTGTGTGTGTGTGGGCGTGCGTGTGTGTGTCCGTGTGTGTGTGGGTGTGTGTGTGTGTGTGGGCGTGTGTGTCTGTGTGTGTGGGTGTGTTTGTGTGTGGGTCTGTGTGTGTGTGTGTGTGCGGGTCTGTGTGTGTGTGTTTGTCTGTGTGCGTGCGTGCGTGCGTGCGTGTGTGCGTGCGCGTGCGCGCGCGCGTGTGGGTGTGTGTGTGTGTCTTTGTGTCTTTGTGTCTTTGTGTGTGTGTGTGTGTGTTTGTGTGTTTGTGTGTTTGTGTGTTTGTGTGTTTGTGTGTTTTTGTGTGTGTGTGTGTTTGTGTGTCTTTGTGTGTTTGTTTCTTTGTTTCTTTGTTTCTTTGTTTCTTTCTTTGTGTCTTTCTTTGTTTCTTTGTTTGATTTTTTGATTGTTTGTTTGTTTGTTTGTTTGTTTGTTTGTGTGCCTGTTTGTCTGGTTTACTATGTTGCGTTGTGTTTTGTGTTTTGAACAGAGCGGGCCAAATACGTGCAACACGCGGACCCAACATGCCCTGCCGATGTTTGGCTGCAAACTTGGTTGCCAAGGCCATTACTTTGGGTTTGATGGGGAACCTCTGATTAAAATAGGGGGCATCGCTCCAACCCGGTTCTTTGGTGATGTAGTTGTATAGCAGTGTCCCGGCTTGCTGAATACTCCCCGTGGTTAGCTGCCTTTCAAACTACATTGTGGATAGGCTGTTAGGCTGTCCACTGTTTAAGCCCTTATTTTGCCCCCAGCGACCCTTTCACATGGGCTTCATGCTGTCAACATGCTTCAGACACCCTGCTCTAGGGAGCATTGAAAGGCTCTCAGAATTGCTTGCATTGACCCGTCAGGTCATGGCACTAGGGTGGTTGAAACCATCAGGAGATGGACTTACCCAGCCCATGGTTGAGTGGTGTCTGGTTTCATGGCGAGGATGGGAACCGGTGGCTGGTTGTGTTCCTGACGGACCTGTTTGTTCAGCGCCAGCACCAGCTCCCTTAAAACGCCATGTACGGGCTTATGTACGGGTGTGTCTTTGTTTGGGGTTTCCCTTTGTTGGTCGTTTTTCAAGCGAAACCAAAAGGAATCCACCCACTTTGGGTTCCTGGCACGGTGAGTCCAGCTCTTAAGCATCGGTGGTGTAATCCCTCCGCGTTCCAGCCCAAACTTTGCGCATCGAGAACACAACATCGAATTGGGCGCGTTCTACATACAACAAGTCGGACAAGTCAGAACAAAAAAATATTAAAAACAAGAAAAATAAACAAAAAACAAACAAGAAACACAAGCACAAAGAAGGAGGCCACCAATCACCATACAACTTGCGATTGTTCTAGCTCTCACTCACACCACGTGACAGGTTAATTTTTGAATGAGGCTAAATCCAAGGCTTGCACCCTATGTTCAGATGTTTGTATAATAATGAATCTTAGATGTGGCAAAGATGTATCTTTATGCACAATGCACGCCCGAAAATGAACCCTTCCGGCACCCGCATCAGCGTCAGCTCCGAACTCCATATATGAGAGAATCCAAAGCTTTTTGCTTGGAAAGCTATGAAAGGGAGAAAGGAAACGATGAACAGCGAAATGACATTATGAAATATCCGTCATAGAGAGCTAGTTTCCTTTTCATTCACCATCTCTTTCCGCAAGATGTCACTTGGAAGCTTTTGTTTTGCTCGGATGGCGTAACGCCTCAGTCTTTTGCTCGGATGGCGTAACGCCTCAGTCTGAGGCTACTTTCGCCAGATCCGGGAGGCAGGGCTCGATGCTCGGTTGTACTTTGTCTAGTTTGACTCTTAGAGTGGTGCAACATTGGAGGTGCAACACGCTTTCGGTGGTAGGGAATCCCCATTGCTTTTTGGGCATGGCCAAATTATCCCGGAAAGGGTTAGTTCCCACGCGGCAGTGTTTCGCAATACGAAGGGTCGGGAAGAAACCATCCAAGTGAAAAGACCTAAGACAAAACAAGTCGGTTAAACTAGCCTGACCAGTCGTGCTGCGCTCGCTCTTTCTAACCCCCAGGGCCCCAGGGGCAAGCCTATGGAGATACTCGACAATCGAGGCACATGGATCCTTAAGAGTATTGCTTAGCCTTCGGACAGGTTGGCCACATGTGCCATCAGAAGACCGATTCCTTGTTTAGGGAGTTCAAAAGACAACCACAAGGGTTCCTGCTAAGGGAACCACCGACCGGAGTTTTAAGCGTGGGACTGCCTCAGATCATTGGTAGAAGGGCTCCTTTTGTATCCACCCTAAGGGCTGACTCCCCTAAGGGTGATTTGGTTGTGTGAAGGAGTTTTATGAGTTGATTTTCCCGGGGGGCGATCTTACCTCATGGAGGCGGGGGGAAAGCAGGGGAGGCCGAAATAAAAAGACACCCTTAGCCTTAGTACAGCCTTACTTGAGAGCCTCCGGGGGTTGTCCTTTTTCGAGCAGTGTCGGCGGATTTGGGGCTTATTTGGGCTCCCCCCCCCTCCCCTCCTTCCTCCTCAAGCCCCATGATTACAATTTTGCAGAGGATGCACTGCCCGCCTGCCCCGAAAGCAGATCCACTCTTATTTTTCATAGTGCTGCGTAGTGCTGCCAGGAGTAAGGCGAGTCAGCTCGTTGGATGGCGTTGAACGAAAACAACATGACACCATCTGTTTTTTGTCGGGTCCGATTCCTATTGGGTGTGTTTCTTCTTAGGGGTTCCACCAAAATGGTGGTTGTCCTCTAAGTTTCCCTGAGCAACCACAAAAACAAGGGTACCCAGAAAAAGAAAAAACAACTATTGTTTCTGGAGTTGTGTTGGATGATGCAGGCCACTCAACAAAGTTGTTTGGCGTTTGACCACAAAGTCGTGAGGCTTGTTGTCATGTCTGTTTTGTTCGGCAGTTGGGCACTAAATGTCAAAGGCTAAATGTATACCCCTGGTATCGCTGACTGATTTTACTGGGCACTTATCCATATGGACAAGGAGTATGCACACAGAATCCATCCCAACCAGTGGGAATTGCACGCCTCTATCAGACCAATGAGAAGCCTGGTGCAAAAGTGGGAGCACCCCGCGTCCTTCCACTGCTCAGACGACCCATTTCTTGGGCTTGCTGTTGCTCATGCCAGGTCCTTTCCCAAAAATGGTACTATCGGAATTGATCAATATCCCTGGCCCCCAAAAGAGCATGGGTAACTTTGCCATTTAGTGGGAAATATCATGTTTTAGTGGTTTGCCCCCTTGGTCATCCCGCTTCCATAAGGGGTTTCCTGTCACGGGGACGTCAATCCTCCAAGCGCAGGAGAACGAGTACAAGCAGCCTCCTCCATTCCCCCGAGCTATGCATTTCGCCGCCGTCCCCGGGCCGCTCGCTGCGAAAGAGGGGCGGGCCGCTCGCCGCTTGCCGTCCCCGACCATGTCTTTTGCCTTGGATGGTTGTACCAGGGGTCCCGAAAGGTCCAGAGCCAGTTTAAACATGGACCATTTGTGGTTGTTTTTACCGTGACGTTGAACAGGGAAATTCCCGGGAGCCATTGACACATCACCTCAAGGGACAAACTAAAGTGAGGCTCATTTTGGTGGGTTGATGTTTTAAGAGGACAGAAAGGAACGGAATCTCCCAACTGTTTGGGTGTGTCTGAATTAGGTGGTGTCCCTGCAACAACTACTCGAAAAGGCTTCCCCCATTTTGAGACGTGGTCACTTGTCGAATGTCCGCTCCACAGTAAGACGTATGCCCATATTGAATGGAGGTGGTACTCTCGCGAGAAGAGCATGATTCCAACTGTGCGGTCATCCGGACAAGCGCAAAATGGACACTGTTTGTGACAAAAGGTTGTCCTGTTTTTGTTGTACCGCGTACTGTATAGCAGTCAATTGGTCCTTTTTGTGGTTTGATGAGCACTGCTGCTCCCCTCTTCTCCAGTTTCTAAACTTGCTTTGGGCTCCACGGACATGAGTCCGATTTTGGAGTGGGTCAGTTGAACCTGGAACATACTGGGTTTGGAGCCAGAAGCCAATCTTCCAGTGCCTGTCTTGGTCACCCGAAACCCGCCTCCAATTTAACGACGCCACTGGGGGATTTGTGTGACATCACCCATGGCTCCTTTAGTAATTTTAGAGACCTCTCTTCTTTTGGTTGATGACTTATTTTGATTCTAGGGCAATCAAATCTCACGACTCCAGCTCAAGCAGCAACACACGCATGCCCTCGGTCAATGTGTTGAACCGGCCCTCCTTTCAGCAAGGCATCCGTTGCCGGAGAACAAGTATCCTCGGCAGGCGGAGATCTCAGTGGGCTGTGCCTTAAACTTCATCAAATGCCAACTACTTGTTGGCTTCAGACATGGATTCCTACTCCCGCAACTTCTTACCCGTTCTTTTCTGCAAGCCCAATCAACAGAAACAAAGTCTCAGGGTGCGTACGAAGCTGCCACCTTTGAAGATGTTTGAGTGACCTTTGGGCAAGGCAATAGACAATCCCTGCGGTTACGAAAGCATGCTCCTTTCGTGGCTTCTCAAAGGGATAAATGGTTTTCTAGGGTTGCAGCAGGGGTTGCCTTATAGTGGGTGCGCACTAAGAGTTATGGATTTGGATTGGATGGCCCAAACCTCCGTTTTGAACATCTAAAGGTTGGCCCAAAGTTGGGCTTTTGATTGGAAGACCACACGGAAGTGGCAGCTCGGGATGCCCGATTCGGCGGTGAGGGGTTCCCATACCCGCAGTCTAGAATTGTAATGATTTGTGTGCATGCCTGTCATCATTCGTACACGTAAGGTGATATTTGAGATGTGTTTTGGGGTCCACGTTCTATTTATAGTAGTCATGGATAGCCAGAAAGGCGCCCTGACTTGATTGAACAGGTAGTGCTGCCGCTGGATTCGTGGTTAAGACTCGTTACTCTTTTGCCCTATTGGTTTCCCATGTTTCCCCAATTTGGTCCGTGTTTAGTCAAGGTCCGAAGAGTTCAATCGTATAGGACCTTTGGGCAAGTGAACATTTGATGCGCTCTGGGAACCCAGACAAGAATGAATAGTTTGCGGTCTGCGTGGTTTGCATCTTTGCTTCCCAGGCAGTACTTGATATCGGATCCCGGCGCATGTTCTTAGCGGCACGGTGTTGCGATCTCGTGGCTCGCCGTGCGAAGAGTCGGAGGGTGCGAAGAGTTTCCAGGGATCCCGGGGCCTCAGGGGCTGGTGTAGGCCAAAGATGGCACTTGGGTACCAGGTCTCTCAGTCTCTCCCCTGTTTCCGAGAGTTGGTGAAGTCTTATGGGACATGCTTCAAAAAGTTGAGTCAGAGGATTCCTCCTCCCCCTCCAAGAGCGGAAACCATAGCAACCACAGTTTGTTTCTTGTTGCCAAACACGGAACACCTAGTAAACCAACCTTCTTAAAAAAAGAAGAAACAAAAGAAGAAAAAACGGGAAAACACATATGGAAAACCCGTGATTGTGCTTGAAACCCATAGCAAAGTCGCCTTATTTTGCCGTCAACCCCTTGCCACCGGGGGCGAACTCAGCGTCGATCTTCAGGCCCTGGACTTGCAGCGCTCGATGTTGGCGAAGTGGGGGGCTCGATGGCTCGCTCGCTCGGGGGGTATGGAGTTTTTTTTGCGCGAGGGAAGTGCGGGGGGGTGTTGGGACATTCTCTTTTGAAGCATCACACCAAAGGGAAACTCATTGGACATCAAATTGGCAACCAGAAGGTGGGGGGAAAGCCACCCATGAACAACCCTCTTTACAATCATTTCCGAGGACTTGGGGGGTCTCCGAATGAAAAGTGGTCTTGGGAGAGCCTCCTGTTAGCTTCCCTGATTGTGGGTGGGAGGGTACTCACATGTTGTTGCTGTAGTCATGCCGCAACTGGGTTCAACCGTAGCTCACAACCGTGCTGTATCGTGTTATTTCTGTAGGCCCTCGTGGTATTTTCGGGTCCGGAAAAACTTGACCAAAAGACGCCCATTTCCTGCGAGGACCCAGCCTTGTTTCGACGCCGAGATCGGTTGCCTCGCCTGAAGGTTTAGGCCGGATCCTGTGAACCCGGGCAAGCCGGGACCCCGGCCGAACCGCTTTGATCGATGTCTCGCGGCGCGACGCGGAGGTTCTCTCTTCGTCCAAGGTACCCCAGCGAAGCGGAGTACAAGCAGCCAGTTGTATGTGGAACCGGTCAACCGTGCTGAAGCACACACTGAACTAATATGTTATATTTTATTGTAACGAGTTTACTATAGAATGGGCTATCGCCGGTGTGCCGGGAAATCCCAATTGTTTGGGCTCATGGGCTAGTACATGGCGCGGCACTGAGGTGGGCGTCGTGGGGGGAGGGGATTAACTTTTGAGTGTCCCGGGACGTGGGGTCTCACAAGGTTTCTTTGTTTTGCCTTGGATTGTAATGGTGTCCTGAAAAGAAGGATCCCTGGGTTCGGAATGAGGAAGGCGCTCCCAGGAAAAAGATGATGTTGGTTTTCCTTCTAGTTTCCCGTTAAACACCTGCCAAGCAGACGAGCCGCCCACGTCGTTTCGACAAGATCATGTCCTGCGCGGTCCAAACCGTTTGAGTCTGGTGAGGTGTAACACAAAAGGGATCACATTGGCCACTTGTGTGGACCCTTTATCACTTCGTTGAGCAGATGTCAGATGTGGCTCGAAGTTGAAGGTGTCAGGCTGATCCGCATCTTGGAGGGGGGAGACAGCTGGCTGCGCGGTTCAACCTTGCAGCTCTTGCGGGGAGCGGTGGTTCGGCAACCGTTTTGCGGCCGTGGTGCGCTTTTTGTCTCCCCAGGTCTTGCATATTGTATAGGGTGGGGAGGCTTTGCGCAAGACTGGCTTTGGCGAAGGAGTTTCACAGAGGTGAAAAGATGCATCTCGGCTTGGTGGGCTTAGATTGGTGAACTCTTGCGCAGATGTCCAGTCAGTCAGTCGCATTAGATGCACGAACTCCTCTATTGGTGCAGGCAATTGGGTAGGCTCGGTGCAGCCGGAGCTGCGCGAGAATCTGGCATGATCTGCCATGATTTGGTGGCGTGGCTGTACGCACACCTGCTTTCCTTTGGCCTTGCCCAGCTCAAGAAACATGATCTTTGCCCGGCATGACTTGCTGTTGCAGCGGTGCCAGGGTGCTTCGAATCTTGATTTACGTACAGCCAGCAATATCCGTACAGGTTGAATCAATGGGGGGGATCCAGTCATCTTCCCGCCTTCTCAGAGGCTCAGCGGTTTGGCCGTTTCATGGCCTTTCCCCGGCTGAGGCACCGGCCTGTTGGCTGCAACCCGTGATATGTGTCAAGTTAAAGGGACCAACATGGTGGTTTCCTGTTGGTTTCCTTCATCACTTTGCAAAGGGCACCCTCCGAAAACACATTGGCCAGGGGTGAGACATGGTTGAAAAGTATGTTCCATGATACCAACATGAGGCATTTGCTGAGGTTCCCTTGGAATCACTCCACCTCAACCCCTTTTTCCCACCTCTGCGACTGGGCTGAATCGCGAATCGATTCGGATTCGAATCTAAGGGGCAAGCACAAGGGCGGCTTCTCGGGTGTCGCTTCCTCAGATTTGTCGTCGCGGCGGCACCTTTTCTCCTTTGCTGGTTGATGTTTGCGAAGTCAACGACCAAAAGGGGGCCCCGATTTTGTCTCCCAATCGATGGATGTCTGGATTGTCATCAACCCCTGACAAAGTTGGATTTTAGAAAAAAACGTCTCTTGTGGAAGCCATGAGCATGGCCCATACAATTGGGGTGTTGTAGCATGTTGTAGCATGGCACGGTTTGCGAATGGCGCATTAGGTTTTTAGACACCCCCGCTTGGCTTCAAGCAGGCTGCGCGGGCAACAATCAACGAGAAGCGCCATAGATCAGCTAGTGTGCCGCTGTAGAAGCTGCCCGTTTGGGCATTTTCGCCTCATATTGTTGTATTTTACAGGCTCTCCATGTTGCGTTTTTTGGTGGGTCGCAGTGTCCAAAGTGTAGTTCACACAACTTGCACGTGACATGGCCATTGCGGCCGCCCTTTACCGTGTGATGTGCAAGAGCGGATGGTCACATCAGCCAATGCCGTTTGTTGGATCTGCTGCCAACGCATTGAGAGATCCCTGTCAACATCCGATTGACCTGCAATCTCAATTTTCCGTGCCTCTATTGCATGCCCCAGGTCACTGCCGATGCTAACAGAGAATCTTCCAGGGAATTGGCGACCTCTCTTGAACAATGCTCATGAATTCTTTCAGCCACGGCTGTGCGCTCATAGGAAACCGGGGAAAAAGGTCAAACCAGTATCAGTGGTGTTGAAACAGGTGTGCATAATTTGTCTTTTTGGGCGATGCTGCCATCACCTTTTAGCCCAATTGTGATGTCTTCTGTTTCTTTTGGGGGGGGATTGTTTGAAGGGGACACACATTTGAAACGGTGGTTCCTTCCGCGGTTGCCACTAACCATGCAGGAGGTCAACAAAAAAATCCTGTTTGACATGACAAAACAAAAGCTCTCCTCTGGTGCTCAGGGAATGTGGAACGTGGGATGGTTTATCGAGGTCATTTTTTCATTCCCTGCCTCTCGCAGCAAGTTGTCCTTTTACCCCGGAAGCACCTCGCCATGTTGCGCCCCGCTGAGATGGACATGATGTACGGCTGGGGCGATGGGTGGAGCGACTGGGACTGGGGCTGGGGCATGGGCTGGGCCGGGACGCCCAGCCAGCGAAGGGTCCGAAGGGTGCGAGGGGTCCGAAGGCTCCGTGGGAGTGACTCGCGGGAACAGCAAGCGAGAGAGACTTTGGAGGTTGCTTTTGTTTGGGGAGATGTTGTTTCAAGGAGCTCCCATTGTTTGGAGGCCACCCCATAGGGGGCTTATAATTCAATTGTTCACACGGCTATGGTCAGCGATGTTGTTCACTCTATGGTGAGCGATACGATTCAATGTGGAGCACTACCTATGCGAACCGCGACCGAGGGTTGCCTTAGTGTGTGATTTGCTGAGGGAATCCATGGTCAGGCAAGCACGACTTCAGGCATAACAGCACTTGAAAAGGGGAGTGGCTAAGCTAGCAATCCCCAGTCCCCTTTTTTCATCCTGGCCTCAGTTCCTCGCCATGGGCTTGCCTTTGGATTTTCGGAGTTTAGATGGATGCATAACATCCCCGACTGCAAATGTTTGCAAAACTTGCAGTAAGGGATCAACGAGCCACTAGTTTAGCTCACCGTGCTCACCTCCCGACCAAATGTGATTCCCAGTGCTTCCAGCTGCCTCTATAGTAGGTAACCCTTCGGTATGGCTTCCTCTAAGTTTTGCATCATGGTTTGGTTCGCTGCTTTCCCGTCGGCTTTGCGCTCAGGGCATGAAAGGTCGGCTTCTCAGAGGGATGGGTCAGGCTTGGTACTTCCCCGTTTCTATCCCGGGTTGAAAGTGGAACCCAGAAGAAACCCCACCATTTTGGGGGTCCTCTATTGACTCTATTGGCACAATGCGCGTTCACGTGTTTCTGGGGTCTCCAGTTGTTTTCTTTAGCTGGGTTTGAATCTACCTTGGGGAATCCAAAGTGGAACCCTGTATGCGTGACTCCCTGTGCGGACCTGTGTTGTAGAGCTGCTTGCCGTCGAAGGGACGTCCAATTGCCAAGCATTGGAAGAGCATTCGTCGAAACTGAATGAGTCGCACCCTGCCCCCCTGCCCCCCAGGCAAGGGTTGCTTTCTGCAGAGACTCAGAGTGGACCAAACCGACTTAATCTGAATGTTTGCTTTGTTCTTCAAGGTGGACGGCTGCTGTTTGCCGCGCGGTATTTGGAATTTCCAATGGACGTGGTCAAACAGATTCGACATCCGAGCCATCTTCGAAGCCTCGGGTTAAAGAAGGTTGGGGAACATGTCCATGGCATCGGTGTCCTTTTTGGTGGTTTTCGTAGAACAATAGATGGCGATTCCCGGTTTCCCTGGCCCCTAGAAGGACACATTTCTCCAAGCATTGCCATCAGCGCGACCAAATCAATCGGTTTCGCCTACTGTCAGCCGGACCTGAGGCGGCTTCAAGGGAAAGGGCCACGCTGGACGCGTTTGACTTCGTTGCTTCGACCTATTGAGCTGTTTTTTTTTCTCGATTGTACCCCTTCTAATGTTGAAAGGGAAACCCAAAGGACCACCATTTCAGGGGAACCTGTATAAAACTGCGGCAACATGTACTCGCTCACCCGTGAAGTGTTCGCCTCAGTTTCGCCGGTAAGCCCCAATGGCTCCAAGGTAGGCTGATTGGTTCCAGATCCCACTAGAAGCATATACATTCCTTGGTGGCTCCCAGCCATCTTCGGGGATTTGAGGGCAGCCCAGATTCTTCACGGGGAGCGTCGAATTGAATTTGGGCTTTGGCTTCAGGACCACCAAAAAAAGGGCCAGGTGGCTGTTCTGGGTCAAAAGTGCCCTGGACGCCGGGGGTTCGTCCCTGATCAAACACTCATGAATTCCCTTTTGAACAACCCTCAAGTGAGTGTTTGTTGGGCCACATGCCAAGAAGGAGAAGATGTGGAAGGGGCTCCCAACTTTGGCACAGAGCCGATGTTGGAAACCCGGAAAAAGAGGATCATGCCATGTTGCCTTTGAGGTATCCCCAAGCAGAGCTCACTTGGTCGGCCCTTCACTTGGAGTGCAGCTTTTGACGTATGCCGTTTGTTTGCTTGGCATGTCTTTGCCAGCTTAAGGCCTCAAAGTCATCCGTCTTCTCGCCAGGTGGTATGGGAAAGAAAGGCGCGCGGTCTCAGGAAGCCATAGGGTGGCAGGCCTTCTCCTTCTTTTTTAAAGGAAAATTATTCGTTTTACGCATGAGAAACGGTCAACCATGAACCGTCAAGTGGACTTTGCTCAGATTCATGCTGACCCCGGATTAATAAACCCCTGTTTATTAATATGGGGGTGCCCCCGGTTTTAGTGGGGATTTATCACTTTTGGAGGGGAACACCCCCATATGAATAAACATGGGTTTATCAATCCTGGGTCAACATTATTTACCAAACTGAAATGTTGTTTGTCAACACAATTTCAGCAAATATTGGCTGGTTCGTCAATGACGGTGACCTCTAAACCAACAAGACGCTTGGCAGAAAGTTTCAGGCTTGACAAATATATCCCTGTTTAGTCGTACTTGGTTGGAAGTTGCGCAAGTGGCCCAGCTTTAACCAGGGTAATCAGTCCGAGGCATCTTGTAAATAGCTGTCCTTCCAATTGCTTAAGACTATTTGTTATAATCCCTTGTTGGTCATCATCGCAGACATCCAGACGCGCTGCACGCTGCACTCAGGCATGCCGTACTGAGCAGCATGCACTATCGCTGGCGGCGGCAGAAAAAATCGTTCCCGATGATTGTTCAGATACATTCCGTTTAAGCCCTGAACCCAAGGTTTTCATAAACATCCCAGGTCAAAGTCAAACACGTGTTCTTTTGGCCCCATGAGCAGGGCCACGGGGCATACATGTGAGGCAAAAATGCGTCAAATTCCGCTGGTGCGGCAGACGATCCAATGATGTTCGGGCAAGTTGTACAAACCTCGCCGATTGCCACCGACTTGATGAAGTGTCCTTCGTTGGGTTTCTCTTGTGTGAAGTGTTACAAGGCGCATATGATGTGGTGCACAAGTATTTTCTCATTCTACATTTTGGGGTACACTAAATTTGGAACAGAGTCGGACATGTCATTTTCTATGTGCCTCGGGCTGTGAGTCTTGGGATGCTTGGGACCGGGGTGGATCAGATTCGCCGAGCGTTTCTCGTTTGCGACCGATCCCGGGGTTTGGCTCCAAGGCCCCGCCGATTCTGCGACAGTTGCCCAGTGGAATCCGCCCGGTTTTTTCTCTTCTTTTGGGTTTTGGGTTGTGGGTTCTGGAAGTGAAACCAAAGAAGGATGCCGATTCAATGCCGATTCTTTGTTTGTGTCATGGAATTCCATGCACCTGAGTGTAGACCAACGAGTGATGTTGCTTTTGGCTTTCCTTTACACCGACGTGACTCCTGATGCTGCAACGCGACATCGGCCTGCAACCAGAGCTGGGGTAACTACAGGGAGGTTTGCGTGTGTGGGTTTGCATTACGGACGATTATTGGTGTTGACAACGAATGTTGAAACCCACATGTGTCCAAGGGCCAGGTAAAATGCATCGTTCAGCCAAAGACGAGCAGAGCTATGGACGACCTTTTACACAGGGCTTCAACCATCATTTGCAACGGCCGTACGCCCGCCATCCGATTCGCCGATTCACCGACTGTGAGCCTTGAGCCTATGCGAGATTCGTGGGATAGGCATGGGCCCATGCCATTTCAGCGCCTGAAGGTGACTGGTTTCCATGGAAATGACTGAATGAAGCATGACCCTCGCTTGGCTTCACTTCGGTTCTGAATCATTGGACTAAAAACAGAACAACATGAAAATGTGCTACAACATAATATGTGTCATGTAATCCTAGATGCGCTGCAGCATCTCCTAGAATTATGCCTGTTGACCCACCTATAGTAAAAACGATGATGAAGAGAGAAGAAAGAAGGAGACAGAAGTAATTCTAATGTGCAATAAAGATGGATTAGGGATATCTAAAAAGTCATTGTTTTTGTTGCACCAGTTGTAAAAACACTCTTGCATCACTTTCTAGACCTACAGTATACATGTGATGTCCCCAAACAAGACTTGCAAGAAGAGAATTAGATGCCATGGTAAAGATCATTGATTGCATAGCAAATATTATTAACTGTACAAACCCATTAATAAACCCATAAATTATTCTGGAAATCCCAAATGCAGGAATTATCAAGATGTAAACTTCTGGATGTCCAAAGTAAATGTTGATAGAGTATAGGATCTCCTCCAAATATTGGATCAAACAAAGTGCATTAGAATGAAGATCACCCAACATCAAAAGAAGCGTACCAGATAAGATAGGTAATGCAGCATGAAAGCTGTAATAAGAAAGAGACATGACATACTTGGGTAGTCTTTACTCTTAGTTGAACCGGCACATGTCATTATCATGTCATGTAAGGTGCCATAGGACACAAGTCGGAATCCATTTTGACACGATCTGCAGAGAGCTATGAGGGCCCACGGATTTGGGAGCAATAGGAGATCCCTTTACACACGAATCGTTGAGGGTTGTGGAGGCTAGTTTCATGGGTGTGACCGAATCGCCCCGAAAAGACCTTTTGGAAGTTGGCTGTCCCATTCCTACCAAGGTGTGATCGACCTTTTGCCTTTTGCATCCTTTGCACCAAAGGGCTGCTTGAGACTCAGGGCTCCAAAACGGTACCCGAGGCTGCAAAACCCCCGGCGATGAACGGAGGCGGGGCCAGGTGTTTGGTGGATGCTGGGGCAGGCGCCTGCCAAAAGGAACATAGCCAGGCCACTTCCCAGGTGTCGCCTTGAAGCATCAATCCAAGAGGAAACTCACTTCAAATAAGGTTAGTATTTTAGATTTATTGGATATTTGAAGTTCTATGTTGGATTCATATCACTTCAGTTAATAAGGTTAATATTTGATCTTCTTTGACAATTGAAGTTATATGTTAGATACGTATTTTCTTTGTCATATGTGTTTTTATTCCTCCAGTTGGAGGCAATGTGAGGCGCCAAACACTGGTGTGCACCAGGAGGAGTTTCCCGTTGTGGACTTTGTGTGGTTGACAATGTCCCTGGAAGGGTGCTGGCACCCTTCCGTCAAGCACGTGCTTTCGACGGAATGAAAGGCATCCCTCGTTTTGTTTTCTCGAAAGATGGCATTGGTGAGGGCGTAAAGCGAGCAAGAAGTTTTAATTCACAGGGCGAGTTCAATTGGCAGAGGTTATCGCTCAAGGGGCCTTTGGCGGCTTCGTCACTTAGAAGGTTTCTCAAAATGGTAGACATCCTGGTCGGTGCAGGCAAACAGATGATCAAGATATCCAGTAGTTAGTCAACGGTTATTTGGGCGAATTCTCATGTCCTTTGCGGAACTGCATGCAGATTTTGCCCGTGGCTTTGAGGGATGGTCGTGAATGCTCAGTCACCAAGTCACCAATCAAGGAGCGTTCTCCCGGCAAGGCGTCTCAACCCACCCCCGCGTTTGCGAATCGGTTCAACACGTGTTTGTGTTGTAAATCGAGTGTATCCCGCCCTTTTATCCGCCCCCGAAAATCATGGTTGTGGAAAAACGTGATAAAGGGAACCCAATAGAGAACGTGATACAGTAGTCCGGATGGGAATCCCACTTCGGTTCCTTCGCAACGCAAACTAAAGGGAAGCCGGCCGTTCTTGCAGTTGGCAGGGTCATTGGGCTGACCGTCACCCTCTCAACAGACATTTTTTCCCTGCGTTTGCCCAATTCACTCAGGAAGCGAGCCAATACACAGTTTCCTATTCAGGGAACCATCGCCATGACCCACCTAACCAGTTTTGACAATGACACACGTGTTTTCTCAAAACTATTTGTCGGGTCCTTTGAGCCACCATGGGGGTGTCGAGGATGTCGCTGCCAGTCGCTTCTTGCTTGCATTTGATTAAGGATATGGGTATGGATCAAAATAAAACCACCAGGGGACCGCAGGTTTTAGTCTTTGGTTCCATTTACCAGGGCTCCATTTTCGGTACGCATTTTTGACCCACAGCCATATATGTTGTATTTTCCCGTTTTGGTTTTAGAAGGGAATTTATCACCACTGGGAATACGTTTTTTTTTTTCTCCTAGGGGGCTTAAGCAAACGGAGGCTTGCCTTCGCAACAGGCGAGGATGGAGTGGCGGTGCTTTGGAGCGAACGGCTCACCGCCGCCCCTCGGGCCAAGCGGCATGGGACTTGCCGAACTCTGCTGCCCAGTGGGCTGCTTCCTTTTTTCATTTTTTTTTGGGGGGAAGGGCTCCGTTTCCTTTAGACTCAACCAACGAAAACAGGGTGCCCTTTTTGTTCCCATGGAGAGCCACAAGGCACTTGAGCTCAACTCCTTGGCCCTCTTCGCGCGGGATTTCCAAGGGATCCGCTGCAGAGGGTGGCTCCTGAGGTCTAGCTCACAGTGTTTCGGGGCTGTTGGGCATGTACCAATGGTCCGTTGGTCCGGGCTTTTAGACACACTCACCGGGCCACTTTACCAGAGTGTGGGCAAGCGTCAAGCTCTCCCGATCAACATGGACAAACTTGAGCGACCTCAGGGTTTGTTTCTCGGACAATGAAGGCTGCATAGGGCAACCTGGGTTTTGGCTCGGTGGATCAACTCTCAAATTGGTTTGGAGCCACACCTGGGGAGACCCGTTTTCTCATAGAGTGACAGCGATGGCACAATTCCCTTTGGGGAAATAAAGCGCATGACTAGCCAAACAGGTGGATTTTCGCCTCCCATTCTGGGAGTTTTTGGCAGGCCACAGTGAGCAAGACGCATTGACCTGGTTCATTTCAACACATCCAATATGGGCGTCCTTGTAGGCTACCCTTTTTTGGCTGCATCAAAAAGCAGCTTACAAGGAATCCCGTTCGGGTGCCCCAGTGGTTTGAGACAAAGGGGGAAGTCTCCCAGGTCAACAAGCAGATGGAGGGCATCCTGATGGAACTCCACAGGCCCCACCGCAATGGGTATTGCAACCGGCGGACCGCAGGTTTTCGTCCTGGGTTCCATTTACCAGGCTTCCATTTTAGATACCTATTTTGCCCTGCACCGCAACATATCGAGCATGTATCCCGGCAAGCGAGCGGCTGGGTCTTCCCCATCCCGAATGAGCTTCCTAGCTGCTCCGCAGTCTGTGTGTGTGTGTGGGTGTGGGTGTGGGTGTGCGTGTGCGTGTGCGTGTGCGTGTGCGTGTGCGTGTGCGTGTGCGTGTGCGTGTGCGTGTGCGTGTGTGTGGGTGTGGGTGTGTGTGTGTGTGTGTGTCTCTGTGTGTGTGTCTCTGTGTGTGTGTCTCTGTGTGTCTCTGTGAGTGTGTGTGTGTGTGTGCGTGCGTGCGTGACTTGCTTGGTATTTGATATAAACGTACAAGGCTATCATTGTGTTTGCCTGAATGTTTTGGTCGGTATCTTTTTGGCCATCCTGGCAATGAAACTTATGAAACTCATGATTCTTGTCCGCCCCAACCCATCGAAACGGAAACCAAAAGGACATCCACAATGGGACATAAGACTTGGGACCCGTTCCGTGCCCTTCGGCGTGGTTTTCTCGTCGCTTGTCACCCGACACGTTCTGATCTGGGTGACTTATAACGACCTCACACGACCGAATTCGCCCAAATGGTGGCTTATGTGGGGAATAGCCCCCCAACCGCCTTATTTCAGGTTGGTGAAATATTGTAATTCACTCAGGATCATGAAGACAAGATCCAACTTTCAATGGGCATCCCAAAGGCTTTTGTGAGCACACGACCTCCCACCTCCAACTATGTTTTTCAGGCATGATGCATTGCACACTGATGGTGTCTTAATAATTAGGCTGCCAGGCTGCCTTGTGTCTTTCTTTTTGGGCCCCATCGGCCAAGGGGCGTCGCTTCTCGTCGCTTGCCATGGACGGAACCGCAGGCAACTCTGTGTGGACCATCAGCTGGCCATCCAGGATTTGCGCCAGAAGGGCCAGGCCAGGCGGTGAGCCGGCGCGCGACCATGTGCAAACACTTCCTGGGTCCGGGGACTTGAAAGGTTTTGGGCTTGGGAAACACTTACATTTTTGCTTATTGTGGTTTAGTGGGAAATCCCCACTTAAGTGCTAAAAGTTAAATTGTTGCTCCCCCTCCAACGTCAACCAAGAACATTTCAGTGGTAAACAGAAAGTTTGGGCTTTTCTAATGGCCAGTCTCAGGAAGGGAGCGTAAGGTTTTGAGTTGGCCAACTTTGTGACAAAAATAAAGGAGTTCCGCAAGGGGCGACACAAAATCCGGGTTGCTTCCTTTGACCATTTGGGTGCGGCTCAAAATTAAAGAGATGGGGTTACGCAGGTTTTAGACTTTGTTTCCATAAACCAAGGTGCCATTTAGGGCACTTCTTTTTGAGCCACGGCCATTTGGCCTGGGTTTTGGGGTTTGGCCTGGGGAAAAGAGACCTCTGGCCATGGGTTGCATAACCTATGGCTCCATTTTGGGGGTGGATGAACATCCATTTGCCACCTATTTTGATGTTCACCAAGGGTACAGGGTTTTGACTCACAGCCACATGAAGCTGATTGCAGGAACCCCAACCCATTTGGTGTGCCTTTTGGCTTTCGTTCAAAACCAAAGAGCAGGTTTCTCTCCTTTTGCCCTGGTGGCTTGGAGCGGCCAGCTCGAGGGAAGAGGAAGCTGTTTGGTAGATCAGTCTGAGATTCCTAAAGCACCTGCATTGTTTTGCCTGTTCAGTTCAGTTGTCAAACTGTAAAGTTGTGTTGCCACTTCATCATTTTAGTCTAGGGCCAAAAGGTTCAAACGTTTGCATTAGCCAGTCAACACAGCAGAACAGTTGTGGACAAATAGTTGTAAGTTGCCAATTCCGTGATATTAAGGGCCTCCCCTTTAGAGTGAAGGGGATGACCTAATGCAGTATCATAGAAATGGGATTGAATGTTGTTCCCTGGAGACCAGTTGACCATGGTTAGTAATGTACTCAATTGAATGGGATAACGTACCCCTGCTTAACGGGTCACGGAGCGCCTAGGTGGCTCCATGTTTGTATTGTTCGCCGATTTTTGGAGTGACTCGAAGGGGAAATTGACAGCAACACAATTTGGGGGCATCTGCTATTCGGAGGTGACTCAGGTACCAAAAAACAGCCCCAAATTGTCCTCGAGATGTTCATGTGTTCTGTCAGTTGCTCTTTAGTCGCAGGCATCATGTTTGTTACATGAGATTGATCCTTCCCAGTCAGTGATCTTCCATCTGCTTAAGAATAGGTTTTTCTTTCCCCTGTTGGTTTTGCAGGGAGTCTATCACTACCGGACATATTTGTTTTGTGAACACCAAAGCAAGCACAAAGCAAGTATGGGTACATTATCCCACCTTCGGGTCATGGAGACTTCAATGTTTTCATCCCTGCCCAGGATGGACGCTTCCCCTGCTGGTAGAACAACTTGATTAAGGTAGGTTTAGTCGGTGTCCCGTTTCCCGTTTCGGGTTGCTATCTGTGTTTGCGAGAAGCTCGGTTCGCCATTTCCGGATTTCATCGCCCAGATGTCCCTCTTGAAGAGTGCCAGCTTCGGGTCAGGCGGGCAGGGATTGAAATTCAGGTACTTGTTTGGTTGCATTGGACTATCTTGATTTTTGGTTGGTTGCTTGGTTGGTTGGTTGGTTGCTTGGTTGCTTGGTTGTTTGGTTGCTTGGTTGGTTGGTTGGCTGGCTGGCTGGCTGGTTTCAACTTTTGTCGACGATTGACAATTTAGAACCTTTGTGAGTTTGATTAGATTTACGTCTTCAAAGATTAGGCTTGAATTGTGATGATTAGGTTCGAAGCTATGATGTTTAGGATGAACGTATCCTGTTTAAAGTTTAGGCTTGAATCTTTGTGATCAGGTTAGAACTATCAAGATTAGGTTTGAGCCATCAGGATTACCTTTGAACCTGTGCTGTGTGACGAGGTTTGAACTATCATGGCTGGGTCTGCATGACACTAATTAGGTGTTTGAGTGGTTCGGTCGGCGTAGGTTTTTGGAGAAAGGATTCATGATTTAAACTTGGTGTGATATCAAGCTGAACCTGGCACACAGCTTGTCTCGGCAGGCAAGATGAATGATGGGTACCCAAACCACCAACATGATCTTTCAAACAAGGGAGACAGTCACTGGCCAAGGCAACCGCCAATGCTTTGCAGGAATGCGGAGGATCCCGTAAACCGATCTGGGCGAATTGAAGAATTGCTGGCACACTACGCTTGGATTGCTTGCATTGTTTAGGAGCAAACCGCATGAGGGTGGCTTTTCGAGAAGCCTGGCAATCTGGACTCAAGAGGGTGACAACAGCAATCGCACAGCAGGATGTTGGGAGTTTGCGACCTCCCCATGATGAAAGCGTTGATACCTCCTTTTCGGTGTGTGAAGGACGACATGTTGGAGCCTTTTTAACACTTGTTTGCTTGTAGTTGGTGGTTCGGGATTCGGCATTGACCGGGTTTCTTGCTGGTTCCAAGCCATCCCCAGGTTTTTTAAGCAGCGTGTTGGGGTTTCGTGCAGGTTTCCTTATCCACACGTTGGACTTTTCGCAAGGGATCTGACACCGGACAGACCAGGCTCGGGACCCCTGGCGTTTTTTATTCTCGAGCGATTTGTCGGAACTTGGGCCTGGCGGAGTGTTTTGAAGGGCGGCCACACATTTCTGGGGGCCATGGAGATTGGCCCATTGGCAACCATTGGTTGTGGTTTTCGGTTTCGGTGCGTGCTTATGACAAGCAAAAGCAGCGGCGTGGGCTCGGGCCCCGGAAGTTACGGGGCTGTGTCAATTTTGAACTTAGGTCATCACTGAATCGTAAAATGAGTCTTCTATGAAATTATGTTGTGAATTTAGGCCAAATTGTAATTTAGTCCACTAATTGCCAGTGGAACCTTAATTTAGCTAGTTTAGACCATTTAGTTGAGCTCCTCGAGTCTTTTTTTCGGTGCGTCGCTTGACAAACAGGAGTCGTTTTCCTTCCATGAGCTTTGGATCTTGCTTCTTTGCCCCAAGGCAGCTAGCTTTCCAAAGCAGGCCAAAGGGTAGCCTCACATGGTCAAAATTAAACTGGAGGGGTTACGCGGGTTTTGGTCCATGTTTCCACTTACCAAGGTGCCATTTGGTACCGGTTTTTTGGAGCCACAGCCATATTGTTGCACAGCTGCTGCTTTGGTTTTGGCTGTGGCGGACTGATGTAGAGGATTGGTTTATAAGTTTGTGCTGCGGGAACAGAGCTCAAAGGAAAACAACCATAAACTTCAGAAGTGCTGAATCGCTTGCACGGGGCAACTTGCACAACCAAAATTGCTGGTCAGGGCGCCATTCGGAGTACGGGTGTAGAAAACGGTGGGCACTTGTGAAGTCAATGTGTTATTTGCGCATGTTCGGCCTTGCGCGAACCATCGTTGCTGATTTCGGCAACAGGACAGCAAGCAGGCATGGGTATGTCTATTTTTACAGACCCCTCATTTGACAAGTTCCAAACAAGTTCTCAATCAAAGCAGATGGTGACAAGAAACTAAGACGAGCAAGACAGAAGCAAAGCTAGGCACAAAAACAAGTGAAACAACTAGCAACACCTAACGAAGAATGATCCAATCCAATATTCGAATAAATCAACATCCTTTGGGGAGAGGCGCTCCGATTTGAGTTCCTTCTCGTCGGAAGCACTTGCTCTACCGGGTTCTTCTCCAAATAAGTGACCCCCTTCGAAAGATGCTTCGAGTGAAAAACCTGGGCTGCGACAGGTGCCAAGAGCAAGTCCAAGCCTGGGCAGGGCGCTCAGCCTGACAGTCCGGGTGGGACCAGTTGAGTCAGGCGTCAGCCTACCACCCTTTGACCTGCCACTTCAAAGGGGGGCTTCTACTGACTTGTTTAAACGTGTTTCTCCTACCACCCGGCGCGTGAGTTTGGTCAAGTACTGAGACCAGGGCAGTCACGGCGGGACTAATGTCAAATGCAGATTGAGCGGTGGATGAAAGGGGAGTGCTCCTCCAAGAGCGAAGATCCCTACAAACCAATTGCTATGCCGGTACCAAAATCGAACCCTGTTAAAGTGGAAACATGAACCAAAACCTGCGTAACCCCTCCTGTTTAATCGCACCCAAATGGCGGTCTAGCAATGATCAATTGTGACCATCAGGAAAGGGACTCATGGCACCCTTTTCACCAAGCAATGGTAGTCGCCAAAGTTACTAGGCTGCTACCCCTGTCCCAAGACATAATTATTATTTGGGGGTCAAAGGCTCTCACATTTAGCGTCTTGGGCTCATGGTTGTCCTCGCGCAGTTTTTAGCCGTGCATTGTTTGTTCGTTTTTGCTTGGAAGGAAGCAAAGGCTTCTTTGATTGTTTTGTATAGGAAGGCTCGGGCAAAAACTGCGTTTCCTGCGCGCTTTTGTCTGGATCAAGCTTCGTAGAAAGCAAGCCTTTGCAGATCTGCAATGTGTTGATCACTTTGGTGAAGCACGCAAGCGGAGGGACCATCAAATTATCAAATCGCAGATGTTTGTTCAATGTTTCCAAAGGACCATCTCCAAGTATATAAGCAGTTGCTTTGTTGCACGAAGGAAACCCAACGGGCACCAGCCTTGGGAGGTCCCAATATAGTCTGACTGCTGACTGAAACTCGAGCACCGCTTTGCCCGACTGAGGACTGTGCGTATCAGCGCGGGGCTCAGTTGATTCCCCCTGTTTGATCCGTTTGGGCTCATGTAGCCCTGGGTGTTGAGGACTCGTATGAGTGGTCAAAATACATGTTTGGGAGAGCTATGTTCATAGGACACCACACAGCTTGGCTGTTCCCAGCCGTCCGGTTCCTTAGCTTTTTAGGGTTTAGTGGTTGGGTGTCCCTTAAACTCACCACATCCATTCGCTTAAACATATTGTTAATTTTCCCCTGTTGGTTTTAAAGGGAATCTATCACTACTGGAAATATGTTTATTCTTTTTTTCCAGGGGTCTTAACCAAATGCGTTTACCCTTTTTTGGGGGAGGGTTCTACTAAAATAAACTACAGAAAACAAATCGGGCACCCTTATTCTAACCTCTCTGGTGGAGGACCTAGCCACAAGTGAAAAAACTTTTGCAGGAGATCTGCAAACGGACCGCCCAGACACCGCGAGGCCACAGTATGAGCCGCGGTGCCAGCAAGGAGCGAAAAGCATAATCGGTCGCCGGGGTGGCCGGGTTTTCCTGTGAAGGAAGCAAAGTTTACTTGGAGTCGCCTACTTAGTTTACTTTTAGAGCATTCCATTTACCAGAGGGCAACTTCCAGTTTGGGGTTATTCCCTATTTTCTACAGGGCTCCGTAAAAGATACATTTTGCAACCATTTGAAACATGTTGCTTTTGCCACACCAAAATAAAGCTGAACCACAATTTACAAGGCAATGTTCAGGTGTATAATGTAAGGATCCCTGTTTACTTGGAGTCTCCTATTGAAATCAATTTTGGGATAGTGACACTATGTTCAAACGATTATGGATAATTTTGGTGGTATCGTGTTTGTTGAAGTTTCACCCTGCAGGAGATACTCGCGCGTGGATTTTGCGACCAGACTGGTCTTTGAAAGTTGGATTTGGCCCCAAGATGATCTAGGATTTTAGGTTGGTTTTTGATGGGGATGCTTTCCCATGCGTTGTTCGGTGTCAAGGACACCCAGGCTTCTATTGCTTGGGTGTGGCATTGTCACGGGTGATGTGCGAGACCTCTATTTTGCTGAAGCACATTGCTATGCAAAAGAATCTGGATAAGTTGAAGGGAGCTTAGGGACTGATAAACGAGCTTGCCCATGAGGAAGGCCCCTGCCCGAATTCCTTAGTTCAGGTCAGTGAAGTACAGGTTGCGCAGAATATGTTTGACATGACATGACATCACGGTTCTACTGTGTCGGGAGTCGGCCCGGAGTTGTGACACGTGTTAGATGCTAGACATGCTGTTCTCGGCCGTGAATAAGCTGAGCAGTTGGTTTACGGTTGTTTTTCAACAACTCATAGCAACCATCGTTGCTTACATCAACTTTTTTGGCTATGTTGACGCTGACAGGACCCCCACTACAAGAAAGGTTGACAAAACCCAGTTCTCATTAGCACTATTTCCTCGTCGTTTGGACAAGAGAGTATGGCGACCATGTTATTTTCTTTCCCGCACAACCGATACAGCATGTTCCGCCCTCGGCTTGAGGCTCTCTCGCACCCGAGGCAAGCGTTGCGGCGTACAACACACTGAGTCTGCTGTTGCCAGCTTGTTTCAGACCTCACTGCCTCATGGCCTAATACGCATATACATACATACGTACGTACGTACGTACGTACGTACATACATACATACATACATACACACCTACACATGCACACATACACACACATGCACACATACACACATACATGTATACATACATACATACATACATACATACATACATACATACATACATACATACATACATACATACATACATACATACACACATACATACATACATACCTACCTACCTACCTACCTACCTACCTACCTACATAAATACATACATACATACATACATACATACATACATACATACATACATACCTACCTACCTACCTACCTACCTACCTACCTACCTACCTACCTACCTACCTACCTACCTACCTACCTACACCTACACACACACATACACACATACACGCATACATACATACACACATACACACATACACACATACACACATACACACATACACATGGTACGTATCTCTGATAATCACCCGTGCATATTTAATTGTGTATTGACAAATATCCGATCGCCGCAGAACTTCAACTAAGCCGCAGGCATGGTAGTGAAGAAGCACAGCACATTGGAGGTATGCATTGGACAGAGAGACCTCAACAAAAGCATAAGTGCCCACCTCGGGGGAAACCACTTCCCTCGAGCCTCCCTATGCACCTCCGTGCCAGACTCGTGTGGTTGTTTGCTGCAGGTTTCCCTTCAACACATCCCCCAAAAGGCGACTTGCCCAGGAACCCCACCGAACAAAAATAATTGCAGGCTTTACCGCAACAGCTTCTTCCCTGTAGCTACAGGACGTGAGCTTCAGGTCATGAATGCTGAGACTCGTGCAAAGGCCGTTATATGATGTCCCTTCTGAAAGGAAAGAACCATCGCAGATGCATGTTCATGCTGCCATCTAACGGCTTTTCCAGCCAAGTTGTGCTGTTTGGGGCGGGACATTTGATGACCCTTAGCCGTGAACGTGTTTGGCAGTCACCTTGCAGCATTTGAAGACTCAGCTTGCGACTTCCCTTGCTGATCTGGCCACGGATTTTTTTGTGAATCCTTAGCCCCTTGAGCCTCTACTCCCGACCTCCAGTGGCGCCTTTTGTTTTTTGAGGAGCATTCCTCAAACATAAACGACCAACACAACGAGCGGCCACTGGGGGCTTGGATTACTGGATGTGTCTTTGTGAACCTGTCAAGGGTTAGTTTGTTGTTGTTGGCGCAAGGGCGAGACCCATGGAGAAATGGGTGGGACTTGAATCATAGGCATAGGTGTCCTTTTTGGTTGTTTTGGTAGAAAAATTAGATGGCCCTGGATTTCCTGGTGGTTTCATCATCTACCAGGGCCATCTATTTACCTATGCTTTGAATGGTGTCCTTTTGGTTTCCTTCTCACCCTCCAAAGTCGTGACCCAAATCAACCCCTGAACCGGCCACATCTCCACAGGAGAGGCTCGACACGGAGGACACTGCTTGGGGCTGTTGGTTTGGTTTCCATGGGTCTGCCGATTCTATGGGTTTCGAGCTCAGCCGCGGGTGGAACGGTTTGCATTTGTTTGATGAAATTGCAGATTTCTGTTTTGGGGTGAACTCAGGTGGTGAAGCGGGGCCCTGGAGAAGAACGGTTAGAAGTTAGATGGGCTTGTTGGAGAGGCGGGTGGGGGCAAGACAGTATTATTGATGTTTGCCAAAAAAAACATCCCTGGTTCCGCGTTTGATTCTCTCCCAAAGAAGCCATAAAGGGGCTTGCCATTTTAGGAATACCTCCCCTTGTGTTGGGTACAGTAGCTGGCGATGTGTTTTGAGTCTGTTGACCTGTGACCAATGGCTTGTGGCCATTTGTGTTAGGGGTTGAAGCAACAAATGCTGGCTGGGGCAATGTGTTTTCGCCAGCGTCATGTAGAGAGTTCTACCGCTTAGTATGGAATTGTAGTCAGGTCTACAAAAAATACAAAAACAACACATCGCTTTAGTCAATAGTTTTAGGCGCTGCTTAGTTGTGCCGCTCACTGAGGGTGAAGCGAGCTTAGCCTTGATGAATGTAACTTACTCGATGTTTCTTTATTTCCAGATCTGTGCCTTGTGTCAGCCACATACCCGCCCGCGAGTGTTTGAGGACTGCTTCTAGAATGTCTAAACACATGAGCACCCTTGAAATGAGAGGTTCCCTTTGGGTTTACCGTTTTAAGCCTTTTGAAATGTGGGTCTCTCCCAAGGCAACGACATGCTAGGCCTCACTGTCCCTGGCATCCCTGGTTTTTATTTGTCTGGTTCCGTTCATGTTCAGCGAGGGGCCACAATCGGCAATCACATGCTAAATACACTACATGTCAAAGCGGCGGGCTACAAAGAACAACAACACTACGCGTGCTGATGTTTCTCGTGGTTTGCGTGTTTTGTTCATTTTCGGCGGCGGCTGCAAAGGGCCAAACACACACGCTACATGTTATGGTATTGTGCTTCTCTGTTTTGCGTACCTTGAGTTGGAGGCGCCCTGGCGATCAAATTGCCCCCGGTTTTCGGCCAAAGGCCACTTGACGCATTTGCCGAGCGGTTCGATCAGAAGGTTCCGAATCAGAGCCTTTCATGTGGCGAAAGGGGGCCTTAGCTTTCATTTTTTGAAGGACCCCCCGGATGTGTATGGCCCCCAAAGTGATCCAGTTTCCCAAACCGGTGCAGGGGACAATTGATCCACCAGATGTTTATTCTTCCGGTGTTTGTAGAACCCACACCAATTTCGCCATCAATTTCACAGGGAACCACCTGAAAAGTGGTTGGTGCACTGAATCCCACTCGAAATTGCATCCTCCCCGAGGAGGAAGTGCCGGAGAAGCCCCCAAGCCTCTTCTCCCAGCGATCCACCATGCAGGCGGATGCCCGCTTTTTTCACGTTTGCGCCGGAGTCAAAGTTTTTCCACCGGAATGCACGAAGCATAAAGCGGAAGGACGGAAGAAGGCATCTTTCCGGCCGGACTTCTGCTATTTGCTTAAGACAACGTGTTATTTCCCCTCAAGCAAATGGAAGACTGGAACACGTCTCCTTTTCGCCCTCTTTGCCATGGTTTGCCCCGTGTTTCCGTCATATGCTGCTTTTAACAACGTAGCCAGACTTAACTGGCCATTTTTTTGAAGCAAGCATTTCTCTGTAAACACGCGGGGGTCTAGCAGGAAAGGATAATGGAGGGAGGGAGGGCGGGGGGATGATGTGTGCTGCTCAGTGTGTGGGAACAGCTGATATTTTTGCCTAGGTCCCCCAGTAGTGCCCTTTACCCTTTTGTGGGGGAGGGTTCCCCTATTAAAATAGACTACAGAAAAAAATGGGCACCCTTATTCTAACCTCTCTACTGGAGGACCTAGTTGCAATGATGCTAGAAAGACGAACAACTCCGCGTAGGGTTGAAGTCGACCAAGTTGTGGGGCTCGAGAAGCGAACGGTTCACCTTTGGCAAGTTGACGCGTAGACAAGAGTTCAGTCACTCTTGATCTTGTGGAGATTGTCCGAGTCCACAAACCCCTCAAGAGGTGAAACAGGGGTCCCTTGCAAATTGAAGAAGGAACGGAAAGTCCTCCAATAACGAGATTCCTTTGCAAGACTTGGTGGCTCCCAGCCACCCCCTTAGCTTTTAGCTTTTTAGGTTTTAGTGAAAGTGCCCATTTATCCCACTCAAAGTTAGTCACTGTTAGCAGGGGATCTGAGGACAGGTCGCATGTGAAAATTTGCTGGGACCACCTCCAGGGATCGAGTCAAGAGGCTTTGCAGGTTTGATCGGCCCAACCCTTGTGTTTTTTGCCTGCGAGAACTGAATGGATTTGTGTTGGCATGTGTTGGCATTTGGAAGCTACATGGAGTGAGATGCTAGTTTTTGCTGTGAATTGCATCCTCATTTGGGATTCACCTCTACTTGTTTTACGAATCAGGGGAATAGCAGCCCCTGATTTGAGATGCTGCGGCAATCCTATCGGTATAATTGAGTTTTGCATATACTTTCTGGATGCCAAGCATTCCAAATTATTGCGAGTTTTACCTCAACGCAGCCACAAGAGTCGAGACACTTTGACATTTTGCTCCTGACCCCCCCACATACCGAGTAGAAACCCCTTGTCGTCAGAGACTTCCCCTCCTTATCTAGGTCCCCCTGTAGTGCCCTTTTACCCTTTTTGGGGGGAGGGTTCTCCTAGTAAAATAGACTACAGAAAAAAATAATAATCAGGTATACCATAGCCTCATACTATCCTCTTTACTGGAGGACCTACTGTAGTTATATTTCCTTTGGGTACTTTGGTGGGATGCTGCGTTCGACCAGATCGGACAGAACCTCATTGACGTGTGGCCAGCCTGGAAGGACCGGGGCAAAAAACCATCGAAGCTGGGCACCTGCGGCTTCGGAGGCGGTCACCCCTGGAATCGAACGACCATTTAAGGGTGTTTTTTCTTGAGGGTGTCCCCCGCCCCCCATTTAGGAGATTGATATACAAGTTCCCTTCATTCCCCTATCTCTTGGGGAGTCTCCATGATTCACAATTGTGTTTGAACCATCGTTTGTTTCAAGAAAGCGCTGGTGAACCTCCGGTTTTTCTGTGATTTCCCGGCACCCCCAAGAAAAAACTCGCCACCTCCGGGTTGCTTCCTTTTCAAGCTTTTTTTTGTGTGCGTTGTTTTTTTCTTTTTTTTTTCTTTTCTTTTTTCCCTTTTTCGCAGGGGGGTTCCCTTTCAAGTCAAGCAGGTGGCCCAGGTGGCACCCCTTGGAGCCCGAACCACCCCAACCCGAGGAGCAGCGCACGGATGGCACGGACCTGGTGCGGGACATGGCCCGGGAGAAGACGCTCCACGAGAAGAACGCCCAGCGCTCGGTGAGAAGTTGGCTCCCAAACCGAGCAGCTGGGTCGAGCAGTTGGGTCCCAACTGATCACCGGATTGCTGATTCCGCAGTGTGGTTGGGGGGTTCTCATTTGTTCTACATGTTGGGGTGGTTTTCCTTTCAACCACCATTTAGACTTAGACGGTTGTCTGGATGTCACTTCGGAGTGCGAAAGATGACCAATCCACGGGGGCTGAACATCCGGGCTCCGCTGACCGACATTTGTACTTGTTCCCACCGGGAACCTGGCAGATGAACACAAAAGTGATCCGGATGCCCTGTAAATCGGCCCCCGACTGGGTTGTTTCATCCTGGGGTTCCCATTACCTTCGCAGCAACGAACATTTAAGTGCACAGAGACCCTTTTTGAAAAGCAGTCCAGTGTTTGCTGGGGGAGTAACTTGTCCTGGCGATCAAATTCACCAGATACCCCTTAACATGAGTCATGTGCTCGGTACTGTTCGCTTGAGGCGAAGCACAACCTGCCAGGTGTCACTGTCGCTCAGAGGTGATGCTTGACCTTGTTCTTCAATTACTGTACATCCACTGAATCCGTGTTGATCTTGGACATTTGGTCGGTTTGGGGCCCACGGAAAACGGCATCGACCCAAACATCAATGGTGCCAATTATCGTTCTACCAGCGTTAATCACTGTGCAGGCAACTGGTTAATAGTGAAACGTGCTTGGAACATCAGCTTCCTTTCCCTGTAGGCTAAAGATGGAGATCGCCCTTGCAACACTCTGCACCAGAGGCTTCCTAGTTTTGAAATGGGCAGGGTGTTGTTGGGCTGAGGTTCTCTGAAACATGCAATGGACTGCAACCATGGCACTTTTTGTTGCTAAGCCCTATCAAGTAGTCAGGTGTTTGTACCAATCATGTGCCTTCAGGGCGAGTCAGGAAGTTTGGGAGTTGCACGCCGATGCGGTGTGTTCCATTTTTAAGACAGAATGACTTAGGTCGCAATCGTAGGATTCAACCCTCCACTGACCTGAAACTAGTAGATGGCTGTGACGAAAGGTGGCAGCAACAGCTGAGATTGCAATCAAGGAAGTGGAAGCAGTTGGCACAGCAGAAGCCATGAGGAAGACGAGGAGTTGTTCCTTGCACATTCACTGCACAAGTTATATCGGCCTGATGTTGTCGAATTCACCTGGCGTCTAGGCTTCATGGGTGTGGCTAAAGAATTAAGAGCTACGGTTCCGCAGGATTCAGTCTCTGGTTCCATCTGCCAAGGTGTGTTGGTCTCCATGTTTTTGAGCCACAGCCTCATTGCCAGACTTAACGAACCTTGTTAACGTGTTTTCGCCCCTTTGGGTGTCCTTATCTCCTTTCAAGCAACCTGTAGGCGCAGACCTCGCCGGGCACCAAGGGATGGCGAGAAGTCAGGGCCGGGGAAGGGTTTTAGGATGGAAGTACTCTTTGGGTCAATGGCAACAAGCCTTCCAGTGGTGCCTGTTTGTTGCAGTTTTCTTTGTTTGACTTTGTTTAGAAGGTGTTTCCCTCTTGAGTCACGTATTTGAAAAGGGGGCCCTTTTTGTCCATGGCAACTGGAGCTCCCAAGTCCATACATGAAAAGGCCATTGAAGGGAGAGCGTGAGATAAATCCATTGGGTTGACCAATGTGCTAACGGAAACGATCGAAGGAATTCTGGACACTGTTGCAGGGGATAACTTGTAAGGACCAAATGTGAAGGCACAAGCGCACGAGTCAGATCTAGCAGGACATGTGAATATTGTGCTTACGCATGTTTCTTCTTTCTGGAAACAACATTATTTGTTTCGCCTGCAAACAGTGGTGGTGTTAACAAGGCCCTTTTATTGCTTGCAGAGGCAATCCTAACGTTGACCAACCTTCATACCGTTCGTGCCTTGCCCTGATACAAACACGGTATGGGCCACACATCTTTGTCCAGTGCACCTTGCTTGATTAACTAGCACTCTTGCAAGCGTTTGAAACTCAGTCAAGTTTCCACACTTCTATGGTCCATATGGACGGGAATTGGGGGACTCTTTAAATTTTGTACACAAACCAAGTGACTCTATTTTACCCATGTCCGTGTATGAAATAGATTTCGACCGTGGCATATTTGACAGCTGTACTACTGGTGAATTGACCACTGGGATCTGGGCCAGCGCGGCGTGTCAGCTTGCCATTTGGAGGTGAAATGTGGGGAATCTTTGTTTCGGTCCGCCGGACGCCATGCCCAGCTTCTTCTGCCAACTGCACAGCGGGGTACGCCGAAATTGGATCTGGTTTCAGTTTTAGTTTCAGGCAGAAGCCACGCGCGATACGGAGTTGCCGAAGGCTGTGCGAGACTCATAAAACACCCCCCAAACAATTTGTATTTGCCTGGGTGAGTCCGCAGGCTGCGTTTTCTTTCCCCAAAATAAAGTTCAGCAACGGCCTGTACTGTTCCTGGGCTCTAGATAGAACAGAATCGGTCCTGTTTGGCAACCCCAAATGGGATTTGGCCATGTTCGATTTTGTCTACTTGGGAGCTAGTTGTGCTTCGACCTTTGACTTTTAACTTTCTGGGGAAGTACTTTCTGCGCAGGGAAACAGTCGCGGAGTCTCCTGCTATTTGGCGCCCAGGTTCCCAGAGCGAACTGCCGGAGTGACATGAAGTTGCCTTCTGACCCCTTAAGCAAATCAATGGACGACCCCCCAAGTGCAGCGGCACTTGAGGTGCCTTGGTTTTCCCCCAACGGCCCCCCTCACCATTTTCGTCAAATCCACCGGCCTTGACCAGGCCTGAATGCGTATTTCGGCGGAAACAAGGGGGTAGGTCCTATGATTTGTGCCTGTATTTGTCTCCCTTGGTCTCCTCAGAAAACCAATACCATATTAAGACTAATGAACCAGAACAGAACACATCTTATTCTTGGTGTTGAGTTGGGTCGATGGGTCAAACCCAATTCCCCCAATTCAATTCGTACCCTCCCCCCAGAAAAAAAGAAAGAAAGAAGGAACACACACACAATAATCAAAATAATAATCCTCTTCCCCCCCAAAGCTCCGCTCCCCTGGGAGCTCGCTCCTTTGAACTCCGTGCTGGAGAGCCGGTTCACCGAGGCCGGAGTCCTCGATCCCAATGTTCGTGCGCATGCAAACGGTGAACTTCACCACGATCCCATCCGGCTCCTGGGCCATCAGGCGCGCGGAAGAAACGCGCCGTTCCGCCGAACGCCCGCGGGCGTGCCGCGCGAGCGCGCGATCCGAGCGCGGGCGGGCGCTTTTGTGTGTGTGTGTGTGTGTGTGTGTTTTTCTTGTTTTCTGTCTTGCCGGGTCGGTTGAAACGCCAGGGACATGCGGCCGGCAGGTTGGCCCCAAGGAAAAAAACAGTGGCACCAGGTTGTTTGTGTTTGTTTTGCTTGGTGGCTTCGCTGTAGAACGGTGAACACCCAACAGTTGTGTTCGCTTTGATTTGTGGATTAGATCAAATAGACGTAAAAGTGAAAGCATTGCGTTTTGTTTCCAAGAACTCCAGATGTGGTTCTCGGTTTGGCCTGCGCGCCCCCAAAAAAGATAGCAACTAAGAGAACCAGTCCTATAAGTGGCGGCTGTGTGAATGATCAAGGATAGGTATGTTGCAGAATCTGGTTGCTAGGGAAGGCCGTCGAGGGGACGACATGTTTGGGGGCCAAGCAATGACTCGCTTTCTACTCCCAGGTAGACCTTGAGATGTATGCGGGTCCAGGGTGGTGGAGAGCTATGTTCCCAGTTGCCCAGCGGTGCCCTTTTTTCCTTTTGTTGCAAAAGGGTTCCCATTAAAACTCAACCGACCAAAAGGGATGCCCTTTTTCCCATGGCCACTGGGCATCTGAGTGCTTGTTCTTGGGAGGGTATTTGTTTTTTCCGATTTGTCAGCCCTTCCTGTGGCCCCAGTTTCATGTTGGCCTTCCGTAGTGTTGTGGGGCTTCAGTATAACCCCCGGAACGGGTGAAACCTCTTGGATTGGACGCCTTCGGAAGGCCATCCAGCATGCAGTTCCTCCTTTGGAACCTGCTCTTTCTCATCGTGCTCTTCTATGACTGCGTGCTGGCCTCACCAACACTATCATGGGGGTTGCGGGGGAGAAAATATGCCAACGTTGAGTTGACTATCGTGGCTGTGTGTTTCAGTCTATGCTTAGTTGCGAATGGTGCAAAGATTGGATTCCAACCCACTGTGACCTAATTTCCCTCCCCTGTGTCCCCGACATAAGATTATGACAAGGCCTGGTTAAGGCCTACTTTAGACAAGGTGCTGTCTCGGAAATTCTGAGATCGCGACCTGGGATTGTGAAAAGGTACATCGCCATGCACAGGCGCAGTTCGCCGAAGCATCCTACTTCCCCAGGGCCATGGTGCTATCTCAGGAATGTCGATTCCTCCAGTGGCGTTCCTGATCCCAAACCCTGAGCAACTACTTGCTGCCATGCCACTGAAGGGGGGGGGTTAGGATGGTTTGGGATTCCTTGGACTGATTTCCTCCAGCGGCGAGCCATAGTACTTGCGGAAGGTGTGTGGTTCACACAGCCAAAAATCCAAACTGCATTTGGGAACACACTGTTCTTATTGATGTTTGTTGGTTCCCCGACACATTTTGCCCATGTGATGGTGTTTGAACCAGTTGAAGTGAAGGTTGTAGACAGTATATATTTTGGTCGTTATTATTGTTTGGATGGGTAGTAGAACATGTTTGTGAGTCAATCTCAGCAAGTCAGTGGCTGTGTTTCGTGTCGGAAGACAAGCTTGCTCGGGCTCACTGGAAATTAAATGGGTTCTTCGCTTCGGGATGTGGTCGACCAACTGTTGGAGTTCCATGTTGCCCTTTTCGATGTTATTGAGAGGGCATTTGTGTTTTAGTCCCTTCAACTGGGTTGTGAAAAAGGCAATCCTGTTTCCTGTTTCCTTGCTTAACGTAAGGAACCGGTCTCCTTTCCAGTGATTTTCCGTGAGTATGGATTGGGACTGGCCAAGCCTCCATTTGGGTATGGGTCAAAATTAAACCAACAGGGGGACCGCAGGTTTAGTCCATGTTTCCATTTGCCAGGGCAAGCGGGTTGCCCTATTTTTGACAACCACAGCCGTTTGAAAACCGCCCTTGTGAGTCGGAAGTCGCGGCCCGCGCAAGGTGAGCTTCCCACTGTCGGCCTTCAAAATCGAGCGCCCGGGCTCGGGCAACCGCGGGCCAAAGGGCTGGTCCGATAAACGCTCCCTTTGGCCGCGAATGTAGGGAACCACGTCAATGGTTGGCGCACATGAATTCCCCAAAATGACGTCTAGTAAAGGGTTCCTAGTCAAAATTCAAGCCCATGGGTGTGTGTGTGTGTGCGCTTGTTGAAGGAAAGCAATTCTTTGGGGGTCCGCCTGTTTTGCCACATACCCGCCCAAAGGTCAAAACAACCGTTCTCTTGGAGTCGATGTGCATGATCATGAACTGTTCATTTAACCATGACCATTGCCCACAGACTGAGAATGGAGCATGGCACACATAACCCGGTTCAGTGGCCTGGTGCCTTGCTGTGCGGCTGCTTGTGTGCGCGCTTAACGCGAAGTGTGCGCATGCCTGGCAAGCGTCTATGAGCTTCTCAAACACTGTCAAGTTGGGGACCGCGAAAAGGCCATGCTGCAAGTTGGTCGAGGAGATGAATTGCACCGTGTGCATTTGCTGGTTGTTGCCCTGACCTTCAAAGGCTGCTTGATCCGGGCATGTGACCTAAGCGGGGCGATGCTTTGCGACTGCTGTGAGTTGTTCAGTCTTTTGCCAGCAGGCCGCCATGAGCTGCGGCTGTGCGCTCATGTTCAACTTCTCCAGAGCCCACCCTTCAGCAATGTATGGAATGTGTATGTGTGTGTTCTTGTACCCCACTCAAGGGCCCTATGTTTCCGCTGTGTGCAGAAGGAGGATCATGTTATATTCATTGGTGCATTTTGCTTGGATGTTTCGACTTTAACTTTTTGCCAACTAATGGGTTTTCCATTAAACCACTAAAAGTTAAACTTTAAGCAGGGGAGCAGAAAGCAACCCAGATGTATATACATCTATATTCCTAAAGGCTTGTTTTCAGGGAGGCGCCCACCTGTTTTTGAGTTGGGGGGGGGGGGGGCGTTTCTTTCAAGAGGAGGAAGCTCATTGTGTTCGCTCTAGCAGCAACTTCTGGAGGCTGAAAGCTGAACAGTTCCAGGGGATGTCAAATGAAATCAGCATGGCCTCCCATAACGGCCCTGTGTGTGTAACAAAACTATTTGCTTACCTTTGTGCGGGCATTCGCTTTTTCTGCGGTGTTGGTATGTGTTTTCCTTCACCAGCAGAGAGACCTTTGGTCTTTTGCAAGGGGGTCCTTAGACTGAGCAAGGCGGTGGTAAAAGTCATGTTCCAAGCCCTTGGCCAAAATGGGAACCAGCAAACGTTGACACCTGGAAGACAAAACATATTCTACATGAAGAAGTTCTGAAGAAACAATAATTCTCATTTTTGCTGCCTCTGAGCCTAAACAAGGGTCTTGGGAGCAACCCAACCCTTCTCGCGTTTCGCCTCAGTCAGAGATGTTGGACCCTGCCTATGGACGCGTGTTTCGAAACATCAACATGTGCCCCAAGAGGGGAGGATATCACTCTTGGAACGATGAAAGTTGGTTCGGGGCCAAGGCGATGTTTTGTTCAGTGATCAGACTAGAAGGCCCCTTGCAACATGCCAGACCATCAATGAACCCGTGTTTCTCCAGCCAAGATGTTACATGGAACTTGTGGCTGTATGCATGGTTATTTTGCTGGTGCTCAATAGGGACTGTGGGAATGAACCCAGTCCTCTTAAAGGGATCATTTCCTCATTCCTTGAGCACCAGCAACACGGTTGTGGGATCACGGGCTTTGTCCCCACTGTGATACAAGGGAATCTCCCCCGTTACAGGAGGATAGTCTTCGGACAACCCTTTTTGTTGTATCATAGAAGTGGACATTTCCCACAGCCCTGACCAGCAAGTTATGGTTGCAATCGCTTGCCTTTCTGCTTCTCGTGAATGTGCTTCTTGCAGCTGCCGTGTCTCGCCTCAGCAAACCAAGGCATCTGTTCTTGACGCCCAACATGGTGGCAGCAGCTCGGAGAGAGTTGCTGGATGTGGACGCTTGCCATTCTGGCTTTGTCTCACAACATAGGAGTAATCGGCAAAGTTAGCTTTGATTTTCTTGAACATCGACGACGACGAAAGCAACAACGGCGACGACGACAACAACCACAACAAATACGCCAACAACAACCACTTCAACAGCAGCAGCAGTAGCAGCACCACCACCACCACCAACAACAACAACAACAGCAGCAGCAGCAGCAGTGTCTTCGAGCTCGAAGAGCGAGGGCAACCCTACCCGTAGGGTATGCCGCTGACGTGTTTTGTTGCACCCCAAGCTTCTCCTTAGCAACCACAACCACAACCACGACAATAAAACCACCACCACCACCACCACCACCACCACCACCACCACCACCACCACCACCACCACCACCACCACCACCGCAACCGCAACCACAACAACCACGACGACGACGACGACGACGACAACGACGACGACCACAACAACAACAACAACAACAACAACAACAACAACAACAACAACAACAACAACAACAACAACAACAACAACAACAACAACAACAACGACGACAACGACAACGACAACGACAACGACAACGACAACGACAACGACAACGACAACGACAACGACAACGACAACAACAACATCAACGACAGCGACAACCACGACGACGACGACGACGACGACGACGACGACGACGACGACGACGACGACGACGACGACCACCACGACAACAACAACAACAACAACAACAACAACAACAACAACAACAACAACAACAACAACAACAACAACAGCAGCAGCAGCAGCAGCAGCAGCAGCACCACCAACAACACCACCAACAACAACAACAACAACAACAACAACAACAACAACAACAACAACAACAACAACAGCAGCAGCAGCAGCAGCCGCAACAACAACAACAGCAACACCAGCAACAGCAACGGCTTGCACACGCGGAGGGGCCGGCCTGCGCCTTGATCGCTTAGAAGTTTTCGGGCGTAAAGCCCTGCTACCGGAGGTTGGTTTTGTCGCCGGTTACGTCTTGGGGAAGCAAAGCAGAGGCTTTGAGTTCTGCAAAGGGCCGTATAGAGTTTTGGGCTAATTATGACCTAACGACTCAGTCAACTTTGAGCATCTTGCTTTGATAGCGACTTGCTTTAAAGCTGTGTTTTTTGCAATACTCGTAATGACGCACACAGCGATATCACAAAAGGGATATTCTCCACAAAAGGGATATGTTCCACAGTTGGTCGTAGGAGCAATTGGGGCCCCGCTTTCCCCCCAGAAGGTCCTCAGAACCCTTCTATCTAAAAAACGGTTTGGATACGCCTGGTTCTTCCCCCTATAGTATCTTTTTTGTATTGTTTTAGTACTCTTATGTTTTAGAAGGGTGGATCCACCTGGGGGCGGGGGCACCCTTTTGTGGTGTGCAAACTTGGTGAAGCCGTGGGACCACTTTGGGCAACTGGCGGTCCTTAAAGAGGCAGTCCCGCCATGAGTCTCTTGGATCTTACGGGGATATCTTCCATCTGAAATGAAGATGGTTTTTATTTTCCCTTGTTGGTTTTGAAGGGAATCAAGTTCACAGGAAATATGGTTAATTTTGTCCAGGCAGCTTAAGCAAAAGGAAGTCAAATCCTGTGTCTTACTAGTCCAATTAAAGTCTAACTTTTGGAAAAAGCAATGGATGCACGAACCACCAAGACCCGTTTATGTTTACTTTTGTTTGTGAAGTGGCAACATGGCAAGGGAGCAACCAGCCAACCAACCAGCCGGCTGAGGCTGCTTTCTGGACGTCTGACTTTGTGGTGTCCTTCTTTGTGGGGTGCCCCTGGCCACTCTGAAGAACCACTTTTTTCGGGAGGCGCACAGGGCAGAGAACTCGGCAAAGACTTTGGTCAGACGCCGATTCGAGCCTTTTCCGATGCTTAAGCCGACCCCACTTCGTGGCGAGTCGTGTTCGAAGATAGTTGCAGGAAAAAGGGTTTCACGGCTCACTTTCTGCGATAGCAAGGACACCCCTTTCAGGTGATAAGTGATTATACTGATTCCCACATGGCCATGGCGCTTGTCAGGGGTCCCTTCAAATTGCGTATGAAAGAAGCAGAGGGGAAACGGCTTTGTCGCGGTTGCCGATGATCCCATGCAGCCGGGGTGCCCTTCTGGATTTCTGCAACCTTTCTGGTTTCAGCCTCCTGGCTTAAAAACCTGGTATAGGTGGATTGGACCCACACAAGTGGCTGGTCTTTGCTGGAACATTGTCCGCCTAGATGTTATCGAAACTGTGGATTTTCTATTGAGCCCTCATGCTTAAGTCTGCCCTGGCGCGAGCCACTCCAGTCTGTGGGACAGATCTCAGGTTGGCTTGCGAGTTCTTGGTTGCCCCATGCCGTTTACACGCTGGACACGGGCACATCATCCAGGTACGACACCTCTGACGGCACATGTGAGGTCCGGCTTCACAAGGCCGGGTGGAGAACGCAAGTGGCGCGTGGCGGAGAATTAATCTACCCTCCCACCGGCTAACATGGAAGTGCACAGACCCCTGTAGAAAGACTACTTTCCTCTTGGAAAGTCCCTTTTTGCACTTCCATGTGAGTTGGTGGGAGGGTATGCCCTGAAGATCTTGTATGAAAGACCTTGATTTGGGGGTTGATCAAAAAGTCCGATATACATGGGCTCAAAGATTTGACATGTCAACTACTAGGCTATTTATCATGGTCATGTTTTGGCCAATATTGATCAACCTCCAAATACGGTAGACCATGGTTCAACGGTGGTGCAACCAGGACACCTTTGTTACAATCTGGCCCGCTGAAGCGCTGGGATAAATTTGAAGATCGGTCAATGCGGTTAGTGCCGGCCCATGATCCTTGACTGTGGTTATCTTCTCGTGCTCCTGTTGCGTTTTGTGCATGCGAAATCATGCGAGCATATGTATATGCCATGTTTAGAGCTTGGCAGGCATTGGGTGAACATGTATCATCAATTGTTATGGGTCTGCCATTTTGGATCAAGACTGAGCCAAATTGGCAGATACCTTTTTGGTTTTCGGTTATATTGTTGACTGGAGTGGGACTCCGGTATGTCTGGCGCCGATGCAGGCCATTTGGTGGCCCATTGTCAGGCGCGGATGTTGCACCCAGCGGCCCTCATGGACTTCGAATCCTACGTGCAAGGACTGCTGGCCCGTGGGGAACGGGACCAGGCCGTTCGGCTGTGGAGGGCTGTTGTGGTGGTGGTGCACCTCCCCCCAACCGAGACCTCTGAATTTCGCATTCATTCCCTGGGCTCGTTGAGGGAGGTTCCCTGCATGGTGGAAGGGTGTGCTAGGTGCACAGAGATGCGTGGGGGGTTCCAGTTCCCGTGGCTCGGGACATGGACCAAGCGCGCAGTCCTGGTTCAAGCGGAGGTTGGCCCGGAGGCAGCTTGGGACCTTTACTATGCGGGCCGGGACTACTTGGATGAGGATCAGCTTCGGGCCGTTGACTCGGGCATGCGAGTGCAGCAGCTGGTCCCCGAGCACGTGGCGCGTTTCATTGGCTACGTGGAGTTGGCCGGCCTCGAGGAGTGTGGCCTCGATCGGGAGGCCGTCTTCTGGGCGTGGAGGAGGTGGCAGGCAGGTCTCTTGGCGAGAGCCGGCATATGAGCCGATCCCCTCCGGCGACTGGGAGAGTCGCGATGGGGCCACCGCTTGGGCCGGGAAGGCTCTGCGCCAGTGGCTGGCTGGTTTTGCAGCGGGAGAGCGTGTTTTTCCCCCCCCTTGCATGCGGTGTGGTGCCCTCACACGGCACGTCATCCGGGACAGGCCGCTCTGCGAGGAATGCCTCAGCCATTTGGTCTCTCTGGGGGATCCTTAGCGCCATGGCAGCTGTACCGACCGGGATCTACGCTCGCCTGGCGGGGGACGCCGGGGGGCAGTGGGACCCGGAGTCGGCTTTGGGCGCGGTGGGCGCCCAGCACACCGCCAGGTGGAGGCGCGAGTACGGGCTGCAGAATGATGCGGACTTTGCGTTCGCCTTCCGCTCGTTTGAGGAGGCGCTGACTGCTGGCGGCAGGGACCTGGCCAACACGTGGGTGCGGGTGCGTAGCGCACAGGAGTCCGAGCTGCTGCCGGCTGCGGCTGATGTGGTGGAGGGTGAGAGCCGGGGGACGGCTGTTCACCTTCCTTTTCGGCCTCTGGCCCCTCGGCCTTCGAGGGCTCCGGCGGTACGCCTTCGTGCAGTTCAAGACGAACCGGAGGCGATCACGATGCAGGTCCAGCGGCTCGGCGAGGCACTGCAGGACATGGGGGCGATGAAGCCGACAGGAGTCCTGACGGAGCAGCTGCGGCGCGAGTGGAGAGGATCATGTACTCGTTTGGCGCAGCGGTTGGTGACGGAGGCGGAAAGGGCCACGGTGTTGAATGCCTTGCGCACATGGGGTGAGGTGATCACCTTCATGCAGGCGCGTTCTCGCCCGCTGCCGCCGGAGGTGGTCGACCTTGATGTTTTCCTCCACGAAGGAACAGCTGCCCCGGCCCGTGCTACCCAATCACTGCGCTGGCTCACCAAGCAGGCGAGGGTGGATCTGGGGTTGAGCATGCTCACGCCGCCTGCGGGACAGGCGCGCCGGGCAGGGCCCAGGGGACAGGCAGCCGTGGTGGAACCGGTGATGCTGCTGAAGATGGAGCAGCGGATGGAGGAGCTCTACACGCAGGGCGATGATCGCTGGCAAGCGTTGCTGGCGGCATGGATGCTCTATGGAGGAGTTCTACGCCACAAGCACCTCACTCGGGCGGAGGTGCGGAAGGTAACCATGTCGACGGTCCATGCGCACTGCATCAAAGGGAAGCAGCGGCGCCTTCGCAAGGGCTTCGACTTCTGCGTACCCGGACAGCTGTCAACCGGGTGGGACTGGTCGGCGGCCTGGCTCCATGACTTTGCCCTGGTGCCGGAGAAGCAGAAGGCAGACTGCGGGCTGGCGTTCCGTCGGGAGGGGATCCCGTGGTCGCTATCCGATGTTTACCGGATGGTCCGGCATGAGTTTGCGGACTTGGTGGAGAACCCGGCGATGGTGTCGTCGTACTCATTCAGGCGGGTTGGTACAACGGTGGGCCAACTGGTGGGGTTCAGCGCCCTCGACATGGCGGCACTGGGCGACTGGCAGACCAAAGGCGACGTTCCGGAGGATGCTCGCATGCCATTGCACTACAGCGGGGCCAAGTACGCGGCGTCCTTGTTGGCCAAGCACAGGATGGTGGGAGCGGTTGCGGCTCTGACCCACCACGAGTCCTGGGAGTTGGTTCCGCCGGCGGGGAGGCGGCCCAGGCTGGCCAGGCGGCGGCAGCCCAAGCCAAGGCGCGGGACGCCCAGGTGGTGTGGGCGGCCCCCCCACGCCCCAAGGAGCTTCAGAAGCGCTTCGCCCTGACGCAGAAGCTCAAGCGGATCGCCAAAGCCAAGGCAGAGGCAGCTAAACCAGCTACCACGATGCCGGCCTCGCTCAACGGCCGGCGTCTGACCGCAGTGATGCGTGATGGCAAGAGGCTATGCCCGGCGTTCCAATCGGGGCAATGCCCCGGGGAGCGAGTGTGCGGGTTTGCACACCTTTGCGCATGCGTCCGCTTGACGGGGAGAGCCTGCGGAGGGAAGCATGCAGCGGGCGTGTGCCGGGTGACGAAGGTGGTCATGGTGGAGGACCCGGAGGCGTCCATCCCGGCCCGGCCGTCAGGGGCCGCGAGCAGTGGCTCGGCTAGTGCCGAAGCGATGATGCTGTCGCCCAAGATCAAGGCGGTGCCCCAGAAGCGGCCGCCAGAGCCGAGCGGCCCTGGTGAGAAGCGGAGGAGGCGTGACGCCTGGCCCGAGGGTGACTCGGAAGCCCCGTCACAGCCTTCGCGTCCGGCGGCTGTGCTCCCTGTGGCGCAGGGGGACCAGCTGTTTGATGCCCTTGCGGAGGAACGCGCTGCGCAGGTAGCGACGTGCATTTACCAGAATGCGAAGGGTGGCCGTTTGTGGTTGTCCGGACTCCCGAAGCAGGTGGAGGCGCCCAATTTCCCGCCCGTGACTCTGCAGATCATTTGCCTCCCGAACAGCCCGGAGAGCCGGGGGGGTGTGACATTGCCGGGGGCGTTCCCGGTGTACATGCCCATCACGAAGCCACGGGACCGCACGGAGGGCTGGAAGAACATGTGGGCTGTGCTGCAGCAGACGTTGGCGGCTGGTGAACAGGCGCTCGTGCACTGCATGGCGGGCCGGCACCGGGCCGCGGCAATGGGCATCCTGGCCCGTGCAGTCTTGACCCGGGAGACCATCTCGGAGTCGGAGGCGTGGATTCGGGCCCGCAGAAACATCGAGTACAGCAAGATCGCCCGCGACAAGGACACCGGGATGTGGGTGGAGCGAATGCGGCAGGAAACGAGGGTGGGACCCTCGTGGCCTTTGCCGGTGGGCTACGTGACCACGGTGCGCTCGAACATCCACCTGCGCATGATGAACGATGCGCCGCTGTGCAGCCACAAGCAGGCGCGCTCTGGTGCTGGGCGCTTGAGGGATCCGATCCTGTGCGACACCTGGGAGGAGGCGTCAGCGTGGGGGCGGACTTTGTGCCACCTTTGCCAGGGGCGAGCTCCAGCTGGGTGGCGGCGCAGTGAGTAGACCATGGCTGATGTTTTGCGGTTTTGCCTTGTAGCGCCCCGGCGCGTCCAAATAAGCTTGGGTCCCCATTTTGCACGGGCCTCAGCCTGTGCCGACGGGCCCGACTCTGCTGAGAGCGAGAAGAAAGTCGGTGTTGAGGACGAACTGTTTTAACCCCAGAACCTCTGAGGCCCCCCCCCAAGGGGTGTGAAGTTTGGCTGGGACCTTAGGTTTTGGGGAGAAGTGGAAGGGCGAGGGACAGTCCCCCGCAAGTGATGCTCCACGGCTTGACTCCACTGCACCTGCACTGTCATGGGGGTTTCCGTGGGAGACAGGGAGGGAAGTCGGTCATGGGACGGGGTCTGCCTCAGCCCATTTCGTATTGCAGGACTAGATCCGGCGTTGACAGCCAGGCCGGCGAGTGACCCCGGCGGCAATGGCAAGTTTGGAGTTGGTGCCTCCACCTGGGAAGACCATTGAGGAAACCCTTGGGGCCCTGGCAATCAACTTCGATTTGGAGCAATCGGTCGTCCAAGCCCTCCTCGGTTGAAACCTTCCTGGGCAAACTGAATCTGGGAGAGGATCGAATGATCCAGGTGGCTCGTTTGAGGCGGGCCTGGTCCGCGGTTTCACTGTATTTCAAGCAGTGTGACACCGACCGTTCCAAAGTGAGTGCCACTGACCTCGATTCACTGCTGGGAGACAGCGAGCTTCGGGATGTCAAGGTGGCCTTTTGGACCAGGTACCGAGTCCGGCTCCCCCCGGAATTGTACCCGTCGGATGCCACCGTTTCCCGAGTGAGTCGAGAGATGTCCAAGAGGCTGCTGTGCGTTTTCGATGTGTGGAAGGCTCGGT